TGACTATATATTATATAATGTATACTGTAAACACTATGCTGTCTATATATTATATATAATGTATGAATGTATACTGTACACACTATGCTGTCTATATATGTGATGTATAATGTACACTATGCTGTCTATTATATAATGTACACACTATGCTGTATTATATAAAATGTATACTGTACACACTATGCTGTCTATATATTATATATAATGTACACACTATGTTATATATATTATATAATGTACACTGTCTATATATTATATAGAATGAACACACTATGAGATTTATATTTATATATATTATGTACACTGTCTATATATTATATAGAATGTACACACTATGATATATATATATATTATATAATGTATGAATGTATACTATGCGGTCTATATAAATATAATACACACTATGCTGTCTATTATATATGGTACACTGTGCTGTCTATATATATTATATAGATGGTACACTGTGCTGTCTATATATATATTATATAGATGGTACACTGTGCTGTCTATATATATTATATAGATGGTACACTGTGCTGTCTATATATATATTATATAGATGGTACACTGTGCTGTCTATATATATTATATAGATGGTACACTGTGCTGTCTATATATATATATTATATAGATGGTACACTGTGCTGTCTATATATATATTATATAGATGGTACACTGTGCTGTCTATATATATATTATATAGATGGTACACTGTGCTGTCTATATATATATTATATAGATGGTACACTGTGCTGTCTATATATATATATTATATAGATGGTACACTGTGCTGTCTATATATATATATTATATAGATGGTACACTGTGCTGTCTATATATATATTATATAGATGGTACACTGTGCTGTCTATATATTATATAAAATGTATACTGTATTGTGTAGAATTATATAGAATATATTGTATAGAATGTATACACTGCTGCTGTCCCCCATGTTCTCCCCGGTCGCTGCTCACTCAGCCCCTGGCTGGGCCCCGCCCCCTCTCTCTCCCCCCCTCTCTCTCTCTCCCGGTATCCGGCGCATGCGCACACTATCCGGCTCTGTCTCCAGGCGGTGACTCCCATAGTAAAGCCGTCCATACAGCGCTGGCCCCGGGCTCCGCCAGCATGGAGAGCCGGCCGGTCACTCGGACACTCACCTCGCGGCCTTCCGCCTGCCCTGCTGCCTCCGCTCTGCATCACAATCCGCGCCGGGGGCCGAGCTGCCGAGCCGAGCTGCCGAGAGCTTCCGAGCGGCCGGAGAAAGAGAGAGGGAGGGGGGAGAGAGGGAGGGGCCGTGCAGCGCCAGCAGTGACAGTGCTTATTACCGGCCTCTGCTGGACGGAGGCCGCAACTGCAGCACTGCCTGCTTTGCCAGCACTGAGCCTGTGTTTCTAGAAAGCCCTGCTCCTCCATGGCTGAATTGGCAAATGGCTGTGTGTTCAGACAGTTATTGGTTTAACTTTGTATTAAATTGAACTCCTCACTAGTACACATCCCTCAATGTTGTTACCTGCTACCATTTTGTTAGAGCAGCTAGAATTTAATGCTATTCTGGGACCTGGGTGGAAGTCTTGGAAAAATGGAGTAAAAGGCAAAATGAAAGCTATTTATCCTAGGACCAGCGTAAATGGAGCTAATGAAATATTATATGACAGCCTTAAAGGGGCACAGTAACCATAGAAACCAACTGGGTCAGGAAGAACATTCCACATTTTCCATGGCGATTGCTCCAATTCTCATATATCTGTTATGTTGTTTGTCTTGGAACAAAGCTTTTATATGTAAGGAATAATTGACGACAGGCCGTTGAATTATTAGAAAAATAATGCACACCCGAGGTGGTAATGCGGTCATGACGCGAAGCGGAGTGGCCGGTACACCTCGGGTGTATATTATTTTTTTCTAATAATTCAACGGCCTGGAGTGAATTATTCCGCTTATACTACAGTTACCACACCTCGAAACATTGTTCAGATGATGTATTTCAAGATGTTTGTCAAGTTTGTATGTAGGACTAATGTCTTACGCAACTGTAAAGCGGTCAAGACCTGTCTGGAAACACTTTAGCCATGCGTCTCCCTGAAAAGAATGCACACCTTAGAACGTTCGTCAACCAATCAGATTGAAGCATTCATCGGCCCCGTAGTATAAGTTTAAATAACTACAAAGAGTGACAAAACTATCTGAAGCTCACAGTGTAGCCTCCCTGAGCCTGCAAAACCAGAGCATCCATTTAATAGGCTTTTCAAGTAAATAGAGGGGATAGTTAGTTTTTTTGCAGAATTTGATATTTTTATAATGTTCCTTTAACTGACAGTTATCGCTCTCAAATTGATACCGTGAAGCTGGGTTATTGATATGGCCTCTGTCACACTGTGAGGAAAACTTTGTTAAACTCTCTTTCTAAATTATTCTTACTTGTGTTTGGAGTCATTATTTAGCTGAAAGGTAAAAGTTTTTCCAGGTTAGGGCTGCCAGATCTCCAAATTTTGCGGGTTGTATTTAAAGTCTGGTATTTGTTGAGTAAGTGCAACCCAATGCCATACCTTCCAAGTGTCCCTATTTAGGAGGGACAGCCCCTATTTTTGGCCCTCTTTGCTGGTGTGTATGAGTGTATAACGGCTGCACAGCAATAATCTTCACAGTAATGTGCAGGACCGATCCTAAGGTCACAGACGCCTGGGTGCAGAATTTGTTTTGGCGCCCACAGGTGGGCATGGCCATCTTACTAACTCCTCCCATTTGCAAATGCCCATTCCACACATATATGTTTATATGGCAATGACTCCAACTATCCATCTATAAGTCCCATCCCCTTATGTAATAAGATACACACTCACTGACAGTCACACTCTGGCTGACAGACATGCATATTCACTGATTTAACACACACACTCACTGACAGACACATTGACGCTACCTCCTGCTCCCTCTGACAGGGCTTCACGCCGGCCCCCTCACCTCTGGTGCCTGGGTGCGGTGCACCCTGTGCACTCGCCCACGATTGGCCCTGGTAATGTGTCTTAAACCCCTGGAATAAAAAGGAATCATGACGAAATATTTACGTCATGTGTCCTTAACCCCTTAAGACCGGAGGGCGTACTATTACGCCCTATTTTAGGCGTCTCTAAACGCCGGCGGGCGTATTAGTATGCCCTCCGGTCTTTCTTTACTTACCCTGTCGCCGGCGGTCCCAGGCCGGCGGTCGCGGTTGGGGGGACTCCCAGGGAGCCCCCCGTGGCACATCCGACCCCCTGGCAGCCCCCCCGGCCATGTGAGAGTGGGGTCCTAGCGAGGACCTCACAATCACATGGCCGGGATAGCTGCCTCCTGCATTGCCAGCAGGGGGGCTGCCTGTAATGACAGGTGGTCCCCCTGCTGGCTGAAAATAAAATAAATACATGTTAAAATAAGTGTAAAAAAAAAATATATATACTTAGATCATATATATATATTATATATATGATCTAAGTATAAATATACACATATACATACACTGTATAGCTGTATTTTACTATTAATATATATATAATTATATATATATATTAATATCAAATTACACATAGACTGATACTGATTAAATATATAATTCTTGTTATACATATATTTATATATAATATAAATTTTTTTATATGTAAATACGTTAAAAAATAAAATAAAAAAAATAATTAAAAAATATATAGATGTGTGTTATTTCGTTCTAACTGTATTGTGATATTAATATATATATATTTATATCAAAATACACGTAGAACGAAATAATATATATATCTATATACATAAATATATACGTATATATCACTATATATATACCTATATATAAATAAAAATATTTAAAAATATATATATATACATATATATTCACATACGTATATATATACATATATTAATTGTACATATATATTTAAGTAATATTTTTACATAATTGGGTATCTTAATTAATTACAATTAGCGGGACCTGCCTGACAATGCCGAAAGTAAAGGGAATTTAATTTGCTAGCACTATATTTAACCCTATAACTTTCCAAGACACCATAAAACCTGTACATGGGGGGTACTGTTCTACTCGGGGGACTTCGCTGAACACAAATATTAGTGTTTCAAAACAGTAAAATGTATTACAACGATGATATCGCCAGTAAAAGTGACGTTTTTTTGCATTTTTCACGCACAAACAGCACTTACACGGACGATATTATTGCTGCGATACTTTTTACTGTTTTGAAACACAAATATTTGTGTTCAGTGAAGTCTCCCGAGTACAACAGTACCCCTCATGTACAGGTTTTATGGTGTTTTCAAAAGTTACAGCGTCAAATATAAGGCTTGTGTTTTTTCACATAAAAATTTGCCAGATTGGTTACGTTGCCTTTGAGACCGTATGTTAGCCCAAGAATGAAAATTACCCCTTTGATGGCATACCATTTGAAATAGTAGACAACCCAAGGTATTGCAAATGGGGTATGTCCTCTCTTTTTTAGTAGCCACTTAGTCACAAACACTGGCCAAAATTGGCGTTTTTGCATTTTTCACACACAAACAAATACTAACACTAACTTTGGCCAGTGTATGTGACCAAATGACTACTAAAAAGACTGGACATACCCCATTTGCAATACCTTGGGTTGTCTACTATTGCAAATGGCATGCCATTATGGGTTTAAATTTAATTCCTGGGCTACTATAAAGTCCCAAAGGCAACGTAACCAATCTGGCGAATTTCAATTTCAAATGTAACGTGCTATACTTGACCCTGTAACTTCCCAAAACGCCATAAAACCTGTACAAAGGGGGTACTGTTTTACACGTGAGACTTTGCTGAATACAAATATGTGTATTTTATTGCAGTAAAAGCAAACAGTATTATGACATTGACAGTTAAAATGTCATGTAGAACTAAAAAAAAAAAAAAAAAATCTTATTTTCTCCCATTTTTGTACACACTATACTGCCTATATATTATATATAATGTATACTGTACACACTATGCTGCCTATTATATATAATGTACACACTATGCTGCTAAATTTTGTTTCATAGCTAAATATTTGATATTAAATGAAAGCCCTGTTTCCCCTGAATAAAATGATATATAATAAGGGTGGGTGTATTTACTATGAAAGAGGTGAATTACGGTTGGACAGACATGTAGCGCAAATGCCAGGTTTTGTTTACATTTTGTTTCGTTCACAACGTGTACATTTGGCTCCGTCCTTAAGGGGTTAAACGACAATAAATGTGTTTAGAAATCAGTCTGTGTAAATTAGATACGTTGCTTTTGTTCTAAATTCCATTTTGGTTGCATAAACTGTTATTTGTAAGTCACCTAAAATGTCTCAGAATTGCCCTGCCCCTGTCTACACTTCTTAAATTAAAGTGTCTCCCTTTGTCCATTTTAAATGTTGGGAGGTATACAATGGTCACCACCCCCATGTTCAAACAATTGAACAACAGAATACAAACATTAATTGGGTTTCAGGTAACAAGCAGGACAGTACAGGGAATATTGCAGTAAGGTTCCTGTTACAGCATGTTTGGTAGTGTGAAAGAAACCATTTCTATTTTATTTATACCCTCTATTTACCCCTATTAATTTTGTGTAGAATAGCAGTATCTCACTGGGTCAATATTATTTCCATCACAAGTCTCTTAGATTGTACCAGAACTGCTTGCTGTAAGTAACACAGGCCTTGTCTGATACTGCAATGGCATACTGAATTGATGATTTTACATGGGGAATAGCCGTAGCACTATGAGCTCCCTTCCATACACTAGCTACATCCTTGTTTTGCTTTTGAGTGAATGTGACTCCTGTGTGTGTATGAGCACACATTGTGTCTGATTGAATTTCTACTCCCTCAAAGTAAGACAAGAGTGCTGACAGTTAAATTGCTTTCGTTACATAGTAAACACTGGTACTAGAGCAGAAAGAAAAATTATAGGAGCTTTATTTACATTTTTATTTATTTTTCGCTAGCCTTGCAGTATCTGAATGCAAACCTATGAGCTGTGTTTGGAGATTACTTTTCATAAATATCCATTTTAAATTGTAAAAATGGTGCCTGTTTAAAGGGGAGTTTTTTTAAAATAAAATACCATTTTGGAGTAGACATTCTGCTCCCTCTGTATATTTGAGGAAGTGACCTGCTCTCACTTCCTTCCAGCGATGTTGGAATTAAAGGAGCCTTGTTGGGCTGTTAAAGGGCCTTGGCACCCGACTGGGCACCTGTTCAGTAATGCCCAGCATGAGGGCTTTCACTAGGGGTAGTTCTGCCACTGCCTGACAGATTTACATGTGTGTTGGAAGGAAGTTGCAACACAGGGAGAAGAGAGGGAGTCTGATCTGTGTGATCTTGCAGAGCAGGCTATACTCTGGGATTTCTGCTCTTGCACAATGATGCCCTGTTTCTATCGTTAATGAACTGGTCTGAAATTGAGGAAGGTGGGTAAGAGGAAATGGGAGGCTGAAAAAATTCCCTTAGCTGAGGGGCGTGTCCAACAAATTCAATCTGATCAGGTTTATCATAAATTTAGAAACATTTGTAACATACTTTTCCAAGTTTTCATTGCTTTGTTATGGTTTGTATATTTATTTAATAGTGTTTGCCTGCTGGTTTAAAAACAAAATAATCAAGTGATGCATGTCCCTTTAACATGTAGGGATTTGTAGATTCTAAGTGTAATTCAGTAAACAAGGGATTTTTAATTACTGATAACACATTATCTAGGAGATGGGTGAGGGCTTCAGAATTATAACATGCTTAAGTTTTACTTATCTTATCAACCAATTACCCTATCACAGTAATGGTTTAACACATACAAATAATTAATCCTCATTATTTAAAGATATTGGCATTTGGGGTAATATATCTTTTTACATTTACAGTAAGGCGTTTACCATTATAGTCCATGCATATATCTCAAGCCATGTTGCATTTTGACACTGTTGCACATAGAAGGCTTATCAATAAACTTCCATCTTTAAGTTTGGATTCCAATATTGTTGGGTGAGGCAGTGGCTGAGTGACAGGCAACAGAGGGTTGTAGTTAATGGAATATATTTGAAGCTTGGACTTGTCACCAGTGGGGTACCTCAGGGATCTGTACTTGGACCCATTCTCTTTAATATTTTTATTAGTGATATTGCAGAAGGTATTGATGGTAAGGTATGTCTTTTTGCTGATGATACTAAGATATGTAACAGGGTTGATGTTCCAGGAGGGATAAGCCAAATGACAAATGATTTAGGTAAACTAGAAAAATGGTCAGAATTGTGGCAACTGACATTTAATGTGGATAAGTGCAAGATAATGCATCTTGGACGTAAAAACCCAAGGGCAGAGTACAGAATATTTGATAGAGTCCTAACCTCAACATATAAGGAAAGGGATTTAGGGGTGATTATTTCTGATGACATAAAGGTAGGCAGACAATGTAATAGAGCAGCAGGAAATGCTAGCAGAATGCTTGGTTGTATAGGGAGAGGTATTAGCAGTAGAAAGAGGGAAGTGCTCATGCCATTGTACAGAACACTGGTGAGACCTCACTTGGAGTATTGTACACAGTACTGGAGACCGTATCTTCAGAAGGATATTCATACCTTAGAGAGGGTTCAGAGAAGGGCTACTAAACTGGTTCATGGATTGTGGGATAAAACTTACCAGGAAAGGTTAAAGGATCTTAACATGTATAGCTTGGAGGAAAGACGAGACAGGGGGGATATGATAGAAACATTTAAATATATAAAGGGAATCAACACAGTAAAGGAGGAGACTATATTTAAAATAAGAAAAACTACCACAAGAGGACTGTGGCAAACCTAGCCACTTGGGACTGCCTAAGATAGAATGGTTGTGCCTATTTTCTGTTGTGTACTGCGCGCCGGTATAGTGTGGCGTCTCCGGCTATGTTTAATTTATGCTGTACTGTGTATGTCTGTTCGAATCCTCCCCATTCGTTAGCATTGCTATTAAAACTGACTAAGTTGTATATTTTGAAGTTGAAAGGTAACGGTTTATGTCCTCGTGGTTTTCATTACTGTATGTTACAGCAGGGGCTGTTGGGAGGAGGACCTGGAAACGGTAGTCTCCCTCCAGTCCCCTCAACCAAAACCCCTGCTGCCCATCTTTGGAAACCCCTGTTGAGTGACCTGCTTTAAATATCAGTTATTTTGAATAAAGTGACAGTTGAGTGACCTGCTTTAAATATCAGTCTTTTTGAATAAAGTGGCAGTTGACTCTCAGACTGTGTTTCGTCTGGTTCTTGGGAGGATTTGGGAATATTGCCTGCTTCCAGCTTTGTACTTGGTTATTGCATTCTACCAGCAGAGATCCTGGGATTATAAAATTGCAGCTCCGCAACAAGGACATAGTCTTAAATTAGTCTTAAATTAGAGGGACAAAGGTTTGAAAATAATATCAGGAAGTATTACTTTACTGAGAGGGTAGTGGATGCATGGAATAGCCTTCCAGCTGAAGTGGTAGAGGTTAACACAGTAAAGGAGTTTAAGCATGCGTGGGATAGGCATAAGGCTATCCTAACTATAAGATAAGGCTAGGGACTAATGAAAGTATTTAGAAAATTGGGCAGACTAGATGGGCCGAATGGTTCTTATCTGCCGTCACATTCTATGTTTCTATGTTTCTATTATGGGAATCCCCTTAATGCCCATTTATGGACAGTTTATGAATAAACACCACTCTGACATCATACGCTGACATCACAATCCAGCCCATGCATTATGTTTATGTATATCTGAGACACAGACCAGTTGCTTCTCTCTGACATGACTGGCAGCACAGAGGTAGGCAGAGATGGTATAACAAGGATTTATTAGAAGTGTTTTGGGATTAGGCTATGCCAATTAAGTGAGTCAGTGTGATGGAAGGGAGCTGTCTCTGATGGAGGTCTCTTAGTGTTTTCAGCAGCTTTATTGATGGAAAATGCGCTAGTCATATCTATACAGTTTTTTTGTTGGGGGAAATCAAATACACATGCTCCTTTGTAGAGATTTTTTGCAATCACATTTGGTAGCAAACAATTATTTGACAAACCTTTTATCCAAGAGAGCTCCTATTCTGTACAAACCAGTGTTCGTTTTGTCGACTAGGAATTTTAGTCAGTTTTTTTAAAATAAATTTGTATTTTATTGAATTTCGTGTGAAATAGCAGATATTCATATCAGGGTATCGGTTTTGCAAATCACAACAGGAAATAGAAAATATTGCAAATAACATAAAGTCAGACACAGTGTATAGACCCCAGGTATGTTCTTTGAGTGTCACTTGAAGGTAGGTAGGGTACCGGTTTTGCTAATCAACAACCGGAAATAGGACATATTGCAAATAACCTAAAGTCAGACACAGTGTATAGACTCTAGGTATGTTCTTTGAGTGTCGCTTGAAGGTAGGTGGTAACTTCTGTAAGTAGCGGGTATTGGGTTCATCTGTCCCTCATGCTATGTCATAGGGGTGGTTGCCTAAAACCACCAGGGCTTGGGAGAGAGACACCTAGAGGGTTTGGGGACACACAAATAGACACAGAGGGGCTAAAGAGACAAATAGAGGCTTTAACTAAACCCATTAGATTTTAGTTGTGTAAAATCTATTGGAGATTTAGTCGTATAAAACTAGACTAAAACGAAAACAATTGAGATGACTAAAATACGACTAAAACTAAATTGAAATTTGCCGCCAGCATTAACACTGGCCGAAACCCCACTAGTTATGCTCTTTAGAGCCTAAATGTGACTAATTGCTTGTTGGATATATCTTGGTTAATTGAAAGGGAACTAAATTTCATCAAATTATTAGTATGTTATGTAATTTAACACAGCTTATATTATTTATTCATATTAGCTGGTCATTCTGTCCATTATGTTAGTGCAAAATCTTGTCTCAAGCATATTGTTTCTCTGGCATGTCTGCATTTATATGGTTTGTATAACATTTGAATTCTGTTTATGCATGTTTTATTTGTGGTTGCTAGTAAACAATTAGTGTTAATGATATTCTTTAAATGTAACTTTTTATCAGCAAATAATTTAAATGTTCTATAATGAGAATTATGTCCTGAAATACACATTGGTTTTACAGGAATTTTATTTGTTAATAATTGCTTAATTTGTATTCCCTTTTTGTTACCTGTATTGTATTATAAATACCTTTATAAAGCACCTTGTGATATATTTGTGTATTTTTATCCAATCCTAAGTTTTCATCATATTTTCAGTGCCAGGCTGTGCAGATGATTAATTTTTAATATATGTAAAATACCAATATAATTTTTCCAGAGCTGATGTTGTTTATTGGTAGCCTTTCGGGCTGATTGTCGATAACCAGTGCTAGTATTCTTGACCGATGTATAGTCGCCATATGGGCAGTCGGACTCCAGGACAACCCTCCCACATACCTAACCCAATAACTCACTGACACAAAGGTATATGGGAAAATTTGTCCACAGCTTTATTTAAACAATCTTGAATAATAATAATTTATTAATTTCCATATTAATAACCATAGCAATAATAATTTAACAATAAACATGGGTCATTGCCCCCATACTCCGCCCTCGCATCCGAATCCTTCTGTTAATATAACAGGCAATGACCCCCATATAAATAACACATATACATATATATATATAACATACATATCAACATATTCCAACATACCAACTTAAAGTGCCAAACATAAATTAACCATGGCAGGGGTATACCCGGATACCCCTGCCCCACCAGATTCTGAGCCACCGACAGGACTCGGAACCTACCAACCACCAATGACCACAGTTTTACGTCTCCATGACGTTCATCCTAGGGAGCCTATTTCTTCTCCTTCAGCTCCCTATCCCGCCACAAGCTCAGACCTTGACTCCTTAAGCTGTCTGAGCTCCGCCACCCCGAAGAAAAAGAGCCTTAGTTATGCCATCCTGCCAGCCCAGGGTCAACAGATCCCAACCAACTGCCGAGAGATGGACTCCATCCGAGCGGTAGTACCCTGGCAAACCACCTTCCAACTCGCTGTGTCGAACTACCACACCCCCTAGCTTCCGCACGAAGCTTGCCATCAAGCTATTCACTTTCTTCCTACACCTGTCAATAGCCTCCGGGTCCCTAGCATGCCGCCACCGCTTCCTAGGGATAATCTCCGACCAGACCAACATCACCCCCGGAAGTAGGTCCCTTAAACTGTTAAGGTCCTGCTTCATCCACTTCACCAGCCGCCGCTGCGGAGTGAGGCCTTAGTCGTTGCCCCCCGCATGGAGCACCAGTAGGTCCGGCTGCTGCCCGCCTGCTACCATCCGGAACACCCTTCCGCAGACCTCCCCCCAACAAAAACCCCTGTACCCAAACCATTGCACCGCCAACTGGTCCCGATGAAAGCCCAGCTGGTGGCCCTGAGCTCGAGCTGCAGCCCTCCTTTCGGCCCAGAAGACAAATGAATGGCCCACGATCCATGCGACACGGCCTGGGGGAGAGAAGAAAACAGATCATAACAGCCCCTTATATACCCAGCTCCCCGGGATCCTCAAAGGCCCTCCACCATACTACTCCAATAAACCCAAGCGCACATATGAACGGAACCGTACCGACTCCCATCTCCCAATCCGCTTCACTATGTCATCCCCCAGACCCAACCGAGCTGCCTCCGTAGCCGCCCCAATGCGAAAGGAGTGTGTACCAAAAGTATCCACCCTCAGTCCCAGCTTTCCCAGGCCAGACCGAAAAACCTTGGTGAACTGGAACCGGGAGAGGGAAGACCCGTCCGCGTGTACCAGCAGCGATCCTCCAACCCCCGGCCTCCGTGCCATGTACCCCGCCACTGCGGCCACTGGGCACAAAGCGGAGCCCGGCAGGGCCCGCAGCGTCACATCTCGGCCCTTGCCTAACATGTCCGTCTTGGATTTTGCCAGGTGTACAACCACCTTCCCTTCCAGCACTCGGACCCCCGCCACCTGTACCCCCCCTGCCGCAGTCCTCGAGGCACTGACCAACTCCCCTACCCGAAAGGCTCCAAAGAAGGCCAACAGAAACGCCGCCTGGAACAACGATGCTTCGAACCTGTCGAAACATATAATAGGCAATAAACCGACCAGGTCACTCAACACTCGCACCGATACTGGGCGCCGAGTGTCAGGCCGCCTGCGGCCCCGCCGGTACCCCTTCAGTGCCTGCCTTATGACAAAGGCCTTAGTAAGGTCCTCTTCCCCATGTAGCTTGAACCAGAAAGCCATCGCCGCCATGGACCTGTCAACCACCGCCGGGGATGCCCCCTTCGCCAGAAATTGACAGGTGTACCAGAGGAACGCATCCTTGAGCGATTCCCCCGCCGGCAGGCGGTCCAACCCTTCCCATGACCTTTCCCAGGAGTCCCAGACCTTACTGTAAGCGGCCCATGTGGCCGGCGCCAGCGAAGCCTTCACCAGTCCCCCAAGCAGGTCGCCCCGAGCCGCCATATCTCGTCTGGGCAAGCCTGCCCCACTTCTTGCGCTTCCGGCGCCACCGTCCGGAATCGTGACCAGTGAAAACGAGACAGAGCGTCAGCCACATCATTCATGAACCCAGGCACATGGCGTGCACGAAAAACAACATTTAGCGACATGCACAACAGAACAAAATGACGTAGCAACCTGACCACGGGTTTCGATGCCGCCGATTGGTTATTCACAGCGTGCACCACGGCCATATTGTCCGAGAAAAAGACCACCTTTCGGTCCCGCAGCCTATCCCCCCACAGGGCCAACGCGACGACCAGCGGGAACAGCTCCAAGAAAGCCAAGATCCGCATGTCACCTCCCCCCTCAGCCGCCGCAACTTTTCCAACGGCAGCCGACACTCCCCTTGCAACGTATCTATCTCCAGCCCCAGAAAACTAAGGCACGGAGCCGGCCCTTCAGTCTTGTCCGCCGCCAGAGGGACCCCGAAATGGCCAGCCACCCACTCGACCGTTCTCAGCAAGTGTAGGCAGGCGGGGGAGCCCGCCGGTCCCACGCAGAGAAAATCGTCCAGGTAGTGTACCACAGCCCCACTCCCCGCCTCGACCCTGACCACCCATTCAAGAAAGGTACTAAACTTCTCAAAGTAGGAGATAGCACAACCCATTGGAAGGCACAAATCCACAAAGTACTCCCCGTCGAAGAAACATCCCAGCAAGTGATGACACGCTGGGTGGACCGGAAGCAGCCGAAACGCCGCTTCAATATCCACCTTAGCCAACAGTGCCCCGCGCCCGGCCCTCCTTACCAGCTCGACCGCCCTGTCGAATGATGCGTAGGAGACCGAGCACAAGTCCTTGTCAATATCATCATTCACCGACTCTCCTTCCGGGTAGGAGAGGTGGTGAATGAGCCTGAACTTCCCCGGTTCCTTCTTGGGAACCACCCCGAGTGGGGAAACCCTCAGACCCTCCATTGGAGGAGCTGGGAACGGTCCTGCCATCCTCCCCAATTTGACTTCCTTGCCCAGTTTTTCCCGCACCACACCCGGGAACTCAGCCACCGATTTAAGGTTGCGTCGAACCCCTGTCCCCCCCCGGTTCCGGAAAGGGATAAAGAATCCCTGACCAAACCCCGCCCGGAGCGCCACGGCATCTGCCCTATTACCGTAGCGGCTTAGCCACGGCTCCATCGCGTCTAGCCTCACCGGGGTTAGGCCCCGGGGCAAGCGAAACTCCCCCTCCCCCCCCAGCCGCGGTAGGGACTCCGGTGTGCCCTGACTTCCCTTTCTTGAAGCACCGGTTGAGCCCATGAGTGCCTCCGCAGCCTGAACACTCGTGCTTAAAGCGACAGGCGTTTCCCCATTTGCACTGGCCCTCGTTAAAGAGCCAGCAGAAGCCCTTTTGCATGGCGGCCGACGAGGCGGACTGCCCCTTTGCGCCGGCCGTGGGCTGAAAGGGCTGCGCTTTCTGCGCCATCATAGGCTTCATCCAGAGAGGCAGGTCCATTTGATCCCACCGCATACCCGGATTAGCCGCCAAACGCTGCCGGAATTGCTCGTCGTACCGCCACCATGCCAGTCCGCCATAGGTGCGGTACGCCTCCCAAATGCCATCCAAATAACAAAACAGGGAGGAGCACAGGCCCGGCGATTTCTCGCCCAGAACACTGGGCAACACGCAAAACGCCCTCAGCCAGTTATCGAAAGACTTAGGAATCTTACGATACCGCTTCTTCTTCTCTTCCTCCTCCTTCTTCTCGTCTTTTTTATCGTCCTCCTTGAGATCGATAAAATCCTCCAAAGGGAGAAGAGAAAAGATCTCGCAGAAGTCACCCTTCCAGATTTTTTCCTTCACCTCCTGTTTGAGGTGGACCCCCAGCGGACCCGCAAACGACACATACGCATGTTGCCTGGCCGCATCAGGAACCACCCCCCCAGTCAACTCAGCCCGCTCGCTCGTCGCCTCCGCCCCGGTAACCGTCACCGCAGTGTCCCCACCCGAACTCTGCTCCGCGGAGGGAATCTCACTCGGGCCCGCCACCCCGGCCCCCTGAGCCCAGACCTGACCCACAGCGCCCCTTGTGGCACCCCCCGCTCCCAGTGAGTGGAGAAGTGCTTGAAGTGTATGAACCAGTGCACTGGAGTGCAGAGAAGCAGAGGACTCACCGGCCAAGCCCCTCGTTCCCGAAGCTCCTGGGGCTGCGTTGTGTACTGTCCCCCGACCAGGATGAGCGACCCTCCAACCGGGGAGCCAACCCGGTGCCCGGCCACATCAGAGGCGGAGCGGCTCCGAGATCTGTAACGAGGAGAAGAAGTCCTGGGCAGAGCATACTGGTCATGAGCAGCCCCCTTGTCCCGACCTTGAGAGCGCCCGCTGGACACCAGAGCCTCCCGTCGTGCAACCACTCCTTTTCGCCCACCCAAGGCCCGATCGGCCCTGCCTCTGGGACTACGACTCCTCCCGTTCCTACCAGAGGCCCGCCCCCGTGTAACCAGCCTGGGGGCCATGACACTCTCCCCCCCTGAACTACTAGATGAGGACCTAACACGCCGAGCCCTTCCCTTAACCCCCCCGAATCCCCGGGCCCTAACCGGTGACGGGCTGCTATCACCAGACCCCAACCCCGAACCCCCCCCAGTACTACGCCCACCTAGCTGCTCACCAGCGCTGGGGAATCCCCACCCCCCACCCCGGCGGGCCCCCCGGCTAGAAGAACCCCCTCCCCTCGGTACCTCTAGACCGTCCCCAGACCCCGCACCCTTAACCTGCCCTGAACGCCCTGCGCACCTAGACCTCCTGCCCCCACCCGATGGCAAACCTCCCCCTGCCGTACCCCCTGGCCCATCCACCCTCCCGGCTACAGGCCCTTGCTCCACACTCACTACCCTGGAACTACCCAGCGCACCCTCCCCCCTAGGCCTCTCTGCCCCCGATCTAGAAGGAACCTGACCCCTCTCCATGTCCCCCCCAGGTCTCTGAACCCTGTGCCCAGTCCTCCCGCGCTGATTCGCGCCAAGGGGGTCCCGGCCGGAACCCCCTGCACTTGCCTGTTCCAGGGGCGGTCCGCGAGCTCCTCCCGCACCGGCCCCGCCAGTCCCCGTCATGGGTGTAGGAGACGCCCTCCCGGGCTGCAATCCCGCGTCACCTCCGGTTCCAGGGGGCCGCCCGATGTCTTCCGCGGCCCCCGCTCCAGGCGCAGCCCTCCCCGAACTGGGAGCCGCACCGTCCGACTCCCGGGTAGCCTCCCGCCGGCTACCGCTTCTCCGACGTCCCGGTAACGCGCCGGGAGGCGGAGCCTCAACCATGCGGCTACCGGGTCCTTTGCGGCCTGGTCCCGCCGCCGCCCGGCCACTGGAACCGTCTCCACCGGACTCCGCGCCTGGGCTCAGCCGTCTCGGCGGCCTCCGGGCCCGCACAGGCCGACCTCCGCCGCCCTCAGGATCCGCAGCACCCGCCAGGGCCGGTCCAAGTTGCGCCCGCAGCCAGTCCACGCCACGTCCTCGAGCCGCCAACCGGATCCGCTCCAACAGCTCCTCCATGTTATCCCTCGACCCTGCAGAAGGAGAGAAAAACAAAGACCCCACCAAGCCAAATCTGTGGACACAGGAGTGCACACAAACTCAGCAAGGTAGTAATTAAAAGTGAAGGATTTAAAATGGCTGCCTATTTAAATAGCCAAGCCTACTTACCCATAACTCCATACTTCCTTCCCTCCTCCTATGCCCGCCTCCTAACCCCTGTCAAGGCCTTTTTTCGCTTAGCTGCGCTTTGGCTACATGGGGCTACAGTACAGTTAAACTTTTGAAAGAGCAACGCAATTTCTACACAAATCTGGCGTTAACTGAAGATGGTTATAGCAATCACACTCCTATCTCTCTCAGGCAGCCAGTATGTGCTAAGATTACTGAGATTCCAGCATGAAGTTATTGATAGGAGTGTGATTCTTGACAGCAATCACACTCCAATTACTCTCAGACAGACAGCCCAGTACATTACAGCAGGTTATTGATGTGAGGTTGCGACGTGACCCATTATTGGCTGGCGGTTGGCAGTGAGTGCTTGAGGTGAGTAAGTTATCGGTAATATTGGTAACTTTCAAAACTGATACGGATTATCAGAAATATGCAGAATATCGGCTCTAATAATCAGTAGAACCGATAATCAGTCTATCCTTTTTAAAGGGACACTATCCGCACATAGACCACTTTATCTCATTAAAGGTGCAGAGTCCCTGTTCCCTTAAAGAAACTGCAATGTTTATATTGCAGTGTTAAGACTGCCTCTAGTGGCTGTCTACCACACAGCCATTAGAGTCTCTTACTGCATTTAAATGGAGTTTAACTCTGTGAAACAATGCTGGATGTCCAGTGCCTTCACAAACCCCACGGCAAAGCACTGAATCAATGCTTAATGAGCATTAGGTACCTGGATTGATGTAACATTATGGGGGGAGGAGGAGCCCCATCCCGTGGAGAGGTAAGTAAATCATGTAAGCGAAAAAAGCGTTTTTAACCCTTTCTTGAGTACGTAAGGGAATGGGGAGGCGAAGAGACAGAGAGACACTCTAGTATTAGGAATACCGTTTTGTATTCATAAAGCTAAAGTGTTCCTTTAATACATATCCATTGTACAGCGCTGCGGAATTTGATGGCGCTTTATAAATATTAATAATAGTAATACATACCAGTTGGACCTGATCAATGAACCAATATATTTTTTAAATACATTGTGATCTTGTTCAAAATATTTTGAAACCTACCAAGGAATACAATTTCAGTGGCTTTTTGAAACAAAACTATTTTGGGGACCCATACCCAGCCTTATTCTCATTAAAGGGACACTATAGTCACCTGAACAACTTCAGCTTAATGAGGTTGTTCAGGTGAGAACTATAGCTCCCTGCAGCCTTTCTCATGTAAACACTGTATTTTCTGAGATAATACAGTGTTTACATTCAAAGCTAGGGATACCTCCAGTTGCAGTCAGTCAGAATGCCATCAGAGGGACCTTCCGAGTTGATTGAGGCATAAAACCCCTCAATCCACTCAGATCTGCTGTCAGCAGATAGAGGGCAGCTCTGTGCAGCACTGTGCACGAGCATCCTGTCTGCGTGGGAGTGGCTTGAGCGGACAAGCTGAAGACCGGAGACCGAGGAGGAGGGGAGGATTCAAACTGTAAGTAAACTTATTTAGTGAGTGTGAGTGGGTGACTGAGTGTGGGTGTGTGACTGGATGGGTATGGATGATGTGGATGGATATGGATGATGGGGATGGATATGGATGATGGGGATGGATGGAGAAAGAGTGTGTGTATGTCTTTAATTTTTTACTACTTGTGTGTTTGCATAGAAACATTATTTGTAGAGAGATCTCTATATATAGTGTTTCTATGCAAACACAGTTTGGCTGAGGAGGGGGGCGGGTATAGAAAGCGAGCTGAGCTGTCAGTTAGACAGCTCAGCTCGCGAATGCGCATTCCGTGCACATGCGCGGTTGAGTGCTGAGTTTCTTCATAGGGCGGCATTCAATGCCGCTCTATGAAGAATGCGATTGGTGCAGCGCGAAACCACGCATGGGCCCTGCGATTTTGTCATTTTGACAAAAAAGGGGGCGTGGCCTAGCGGGGAGGTCGGTGCTGGATTTTTTGGTGCTTTTTTTTATGGCAAGTTCATATAAAAGCAAGAAAGAAGGCTGGGGACCTGTCTTTCTTGCTTTTATATGTTGACTATAGTGTCCGTTTAAAGAAACACTATAACGTTAGGAATACAAACCTGTATGCCTAACACTATAGTGGACCCTGTCTCTAACTTATTAGGTCCCCTTTACCAATTGCCTTTTGAAGTTTGGGGTCCAAGGGAATAGTAACCTGAGTAGGAGCTCAATAAATAGCCCATAACGCCTTCTGGCCAGTGGAGTGGAAGATATTATATCAACCGGGCTAGTAGAGCGTCTCTAATCCCCTACCCCAATAATAACTAGGCCACCCCAGGGGATATCCAATGCCCTGATTATCATAGTCACAGAGCCAGAGAATGACCATTGCCTCTGACTATAATATAAAAAGTAAACTCACTTCTTACCCTAAACACTCTGTGCAGTTGCTTAGCCCTATACGGTTAAAATGACTACTAAATGGCTATAGGACCATTAGCCCCTAGCCACAGATCCGACATATCCCTCACCCCAAAACTAAATACGTCTTTATCCTTTCCTCCAGTAAGTATTAGAGGGGTAGTCAATATATGCATCAACAAATAGTTACATTAACACTTACCTGCCCAGGATTTGCCTGAAAATCTTCCATTTATTTTTTTGTCAACCAAAGAAAAATACATACGTGAAGAACTCTTCTGTTCTCATGTTCTTTTATATGCGCCCGTCACTTTAAAAACCTGCTCTTTAATGTGATTGGTTGGCTTCAAAGCTAATTACAGTTCATACCCATGCAAGTTTCATAGAAGTTCCATAGACGTTGTATAACATAGGTCAGCTGCTGCTCTCAGCCAATCAGCTAAGCCCTGCACTGTAGGGCATAGCTCAGGAAGTACATGTTTAGGAACTTTTGGCTCTCGACCAATGGTAGCGCAAACTTAGAACAACACCTAGCAGACCCCAGGTAAGAAGTCAAACAGTTTGAAAACCTTTTTATTTTTCCTTACAGTGGACGAGTGGCAGCGCCAAGGCACTCCTGGTACCATAAACACTACAGCATGCTTTAGTATTTATGGTGCGTAACGTGTTCCTTTAAAGCGCATCCACCACTTTTAAAAGCAATAATATTGGCAACATTTTTGCGATATAATTCTGTTTGTGTGAAATCCCAAACCAGTTAACACTAATGGAAATAATACAACATTTCATGATTGCGTCAAGACTTTTATTGCGCCAAAAGCTAGATTAAAAACAAGTCATTCTTTAAAACACATTTTCTTTAAGGACAGCTCAGCACCTTCATATTTCAACTCTAATGGTTTGTATTGGTGCCCTGAATACCTCTACAAAAATAATATAAAAAATAAATTCATAAGCTATAGGAGCAAACGCAGTTAGGCATTAATAAATATAAATGTCTCACACGTTTATTGACATTGAGATGATGCATAGCACCGTTATGGATGTGAATTTTAACCAGTTAGCCACCAGTTAAATTCTTTGTTCTTTACAAGACAAGTTGTTTTCTTGAAATAAACAGTGCATTCAACCACGTCTAAAATCATAAAACGTTCCATCTGTCTGATTAGCATGCTGTGTGCAGGGTATCTCTGCAAAACCTTGATGTGACTGGATTGAAATATATATAAAGAAAAGATGCAGTATTGTAATATATTGTCAAAAGTAGCAAAAATGGGAGAAAAAAAAATTATATTACAGGTTCTTCAAAGGAGGAGTCTGATAAGATAACAGGAGAGAAGAGTTAAGCATTATGACACACTTAAACGAAAAGGACCAAAAATGCTTAGAATGGAGAGTTTTCAGATGATGGAACTGCTAGTGATAACTCAAATTACTCTATTAATTAATCAGAAAAATATTGGGGAATTTAAAGATGTAAAAATCTCAGAGACAGCAGAGACAGAGTCTCAGACAGCCATTAGAACAGCAAATAACTTAATTTTTAATTGATCAACTCATTCATTAATTACATCATATGCAATGACCTCTTATACCAACAAATGGAAGGTAACCATAGTGCTGGAAGCAGGCAAAAAAAAAATAGATAGACTCCAAATTAGAACCGTGAGCTAAATCTGTAGAAATGTAAAAAGAGGGACCACTCACTGGTCTTCTCCTTTTAAAAAAAATCAATTAAAAGTTTGTACAAAAAATATTTCCGAAAACATTCAACAGGAGTAGTTCCATTTGGGAAGAAAAAAACCCAGAATTAACCATAAAGGTGACCATCTAGCGTCCATGGTTTAGACATGTGCTCCATGCAACATAAATTTGCTTGACCACTTACCATCCCTATGAGAAAGATGAAGGGAAGCCCCAAACTCGTAACCCTGTGGGATCTTATTGCCTTAATAGAATGGTTTAGAACATACTTATCTCTGTCTTTCATTACATATTTTTGCACACTTTAATTTCTCCGTTCATATCAGCATAACATTCCAGACCTCCTTTAGTTCTAAAAAAAATATTCAAAAATATCCATTGCTCTTTTTATTTTTTTTGAAATTACGTCTCATGATGATGTTTTTTACTTGAACATAAAATGAACCATTGGTTTTGCAGAGATACCGTCATTCTAGTGAGTTCTTTAAAATAGTCTGTGTTGATGTGGCATCATATATGCACGAATGTAAGACAAACGGACATTTATCAAAGTAGCAGGATTAATGCAGGTGCTACATTGATGGGAGATATTCGAAAAGTACAATGCAGCAGAAAAATATCACCATCCTTAAACTCCACCTATACTGTACATATGGCCTATGTAATATAATTCACGTAGAGCCATTGGGGTATTCAAGCTTCACAAAGATAGTGAAACTAACACTATATAACTTGGGGGGGATACACAGTTTAAAAGCATGGCATTATATTAAAGGGGAATCTTTGTTCAAAATAGCTCGCAGTCTGTTTAGTATTCGTCTTGTGTGTAGAGAAGACAGTGTTAAAAATCACTGTTAACATTTACTGTATTGCACGAGATATATAGGAACTCCAAACTCAGGATGACACGATATAGGACATCTGTTCTGACTGTTCATTTTTATCTACGGTGACTGAAACCTCAAGGAGGTCCTGAGTCACACATTAATGTAGTGTAACATAGCTCGGAGAAAACTGTACTCACACGCCGTGCCATGTGATAAGACTAAATCCCAGCTAGGAAGAGCAAGCTTAAATCCCTTTTTACAATCCAAGATTTGAACAGCTGCCACACTTCAGATCCTGCTTTTGCCTTCAGTGTAGGAAGAAATCGCGAATCCTGGTGGCCTCAATCCAAGGAATATAGGTTGAGGTTTTGGTGAAGACGCTTGGTTTGTTTTCTACTGTGCACCCGATGGGCCCAAAACTGACTATGCCATGCACCTCCCAGCGTTCTCTTCCGTTCTGGCACACAAGTGGACCCCCAGAATCTCCCTGAAAAAAATAGTTAATTTTAACACAATCTTTTATTATAATATTTACTATAGGAGAGCATGTAGCTGCTAGAGATAGACAGAGAGACAGATAGATACATAGAAATTTAAATTGAGTTTCAATGTGCACATTGACATTTTCACACTGTGAAGATACATTTCTTACATTCTACAAAAGGAATGTTGCAGCACAGAATTTAGGAATGTTAGGATTTAAGTAAGAACAGAGTTACATCTGGGCCTCGTTTAAAATGCACCTGATCTCCCTGGAGGAAGTGTGAGTGGGGAGAAAATTAATTCTCAATGAATTCATCAAATAGGAGTGCTGTTTATCTTATGATTTATCCTCAAGATAATTACCATAGCACCCATGGGAAATATTATTTGAATATAATATGCAGGGGTAGGAAGTTAGCTGTATAAATAAACAAACAGTAATGGTAATGTCTAATTATTTGTCAGCTTAATGGTTGAGTGCCCAATATTTTAATGTAGTCACACAATGAACTGCACCGTTGGTTTTCAACTACACTAATGTCCCTAACAACCTTCATGGTTGTAACAGGTGGAATGTAGTCCTTAAAATTTTTTTTGTTTAATGGTTATCAGCATTAAATTTGTGATTCCAATTAGTTAATGCAGTCTGTTTGTGCAGCGTTTCAGCATTGTCATTGGGGCATCATTAGCTAGTCCAGAACAAAAGTACCAGGCTGGCTAATTTCAATTCTTTGCATGTTTTCCATTTCATATACTGGTGACAGCCCCCCTCCCTACTGATAACTGTTTCTTTAAGCAAGGGGAACTGACATGAGAGGAGGACAATTGAGCTGATGGGAGAACTTTGCCTTAGGGCTGCAACATAGTTGCATAGTGAGTTATAACTACATTCTTTTTTGTTTTGTTTTATTTTAGGGAGAGCAGGAAAGGCAGGGTTACTCTCACCAAAAACATTGTTTTCTTAAACCCTTAAACCTTAAAAGTCAGCTTATATAGAAGCCTGCATATTTCTTTAGTAAGACTTTAAATGTGACATTAATATGTTGCTGGTGAGAGTTAAAGGTTTAAAGGATAGGCGTGCCTTGGACATTTTTCCATAGTTGAAGTGTGTCCATTAAAGTGATGTGACCTTATCACATTAATAGATAATCAGTTCTATGGCATCTTAAAGAACTTAAAGGACCACTATAGGCACCCAGACCACTTCAGCTTAATGAAGTGGTCTGGGTGCCTGGTCCAGCTAGGGTTAACCTTTTTTTTTATAAACATAGCAGTTTCAGAGAAACTGCTATGTTTATAAATAGGTTAATCCAGCCTCTAAATCCTCTAGTGGCTGTCTCATTGACAGCCGCTAGAGGCGTTTGTGTGCTTCTCACTGTGAAAATCACAGTGAGAAGACGCCAGCGTCCACAGCAAAGCATTATGAATGCTTTCCTATGAGACTGGCTGAATGTGCGCGCAGCTCCTGCCGCGTATGTGCATTCAGCCAAAGGGGAAGAGAGGAGAGCTCCCCTCCCGGCGCTGGAGAAAGGTAAGATTTTAACCCCTTCCTCTCCCCAGAGCCTGGCGGGAGTGGGACCCTAAAGGGTGGGGGCACCCTCAGAGCACTATAGTGCCAGGAAAACGAGTATGTTTTCCTGGCACTATAGTGGTCCTTTAAATACACCATTGGATGGAGTGCAAAAGGTTGTTACCTGGCAGGCAGCAGGAGGTCCACCAATGTCTCTGAATCCAGCACAGATCATCGAGTCGCGAACTCGGTCTCCCCAAAACTTTTTCTGCCTGCAGGTCTTGTTATCAATTATTGGTAGTTTTGCTTGGTTCAGACCTTCTGATAACGTTAGATTCTCTTTTCCACCTATTGTAACAGAGGATGACATATATTGTTAATGTAATCGTATAGTCAGCAATACTTTGTGTGATCATTCGTCCTTTTTTGTTGACAAGTCAATAAAACCAAAATGAAAACTGTCCACATTTTGTAAAGTTGAGCACGTACATCATTCCTATGATTATTTTTATTTTATGAACAATTTAATAATGGTGTTTAGTATGCTCTTGTCAAGTGTGAATAAATAGTTATAAAAAGTACTTACGGTACATTCAATTGTATTCCATTGCAGGTTGAGACATTTGTTAGAGTAAAGTCTGTTTTTTTTTTTTTACTCATTATGAATATACACAAAATATCACATTATTTGTAAAATTGTTTCACAATTTTATTTATATATCTCTTCATGCTAACATGTGTTGTTTTTTTTATTACTTTTTACGCCAATAACAATTTAAAGGGACACTATAGACGCCAACACAACCAATGTTTTTTTGATTTTGGTATTATGTTTTTGTCATTGCTCAATTTTGTTTGGTTTTGAGCAAATTTTTTTTAAAAAGACTTACACACTGTAGGTAACACACTCTATTCTAGTATAGGACAATGGAGGGGAATACAGTTATTGCAATATGATAATGATTTATTTTTTCCCTTCTGCAAATGTTATTAGCAGCTAAAACGTTCAGGCTCCATGCATTAATCTTGTTTGCATTTTTGCCCTGCCCCAGTCCTTGTGTATTTAACTTCTGCAACATGACAGTAGTGGTATATGCTATGAGATATCTCTTGCAAGATTACTATTACAATTATTTATATAGCACCAACATAGTCCACAGCGCTGCACAATAGGTAAAACAAGACAAATAATTCTAACTATACATGCTTGACATACAGGAATGGTAGGTGAAGAGGGCCCTATCTAAACAAGCTTACAATCTAAAAAAAACCAAGAATATTGTGATTATTATTTTGTTTAAAACTGATGTAAGAGTTGGTATGAAGAAGCAGAATGTGGCCTCTGTTCTCTGGTAGGGATTAAGTTTGCACAAGCTGTTTGTGTATAGGCCTATATGACTTTCACTCCGTCTGATCTCTAATATAGTGATTGGTTTTGAAGTAATCATTCTCATGATAAATCATTGCTTCTCTCACACCGGCTTTGAAACACAAACTGGTTGAGAGCTAAAGAAGAAATTACATACTGACCAATGAGAAGCTGCAAGTCTGCAGAAACACAGAGAGAAAAACTATTTATGCAGTTGCAAAGTAGTGATTGAAAAGTAACAAGTGCACATAAAATATAACGTAGGTCATATTTAGCACATACTGCCACCTTCATAAGCGTGCGCAGCCTATTGTATCAGGGCGTGCACCCTAAAGCAGAAACACAGACGCCGCGTATATATATATATATATTTATATATATATATATATATATATATACACATATATACACATACACACACACACACACACTGCTGTGCACTGTTTGTGTGGGCGCGCTGTGTGTGTGAAGGAGCTGTGTGTGTGTGTAAAGGTGCTGTGTGTGTAAGGGTGCTGTTGGTGTGTGTGTGGGGGTGCTGTGTGTGCTTTGTGTATGTGGGTGAGGGTGCTGTGTGTGTAAGGGTGCTGTGTGTGTAAGGGTGCTGTGTGTGTGTAAGGGTGCTGTGTGTGTGAGGGTGATGTTAGTGTGTGTATGTGTAAGGGTGCTGTGTGTGTAAGGGTGCTATTAGTGTGTGCTGTGTGTGTGTGTAAGGGTGCTGTGTGTGTGAGGGTGCTGTGTGTAAGGGTGCTGTTAATGTGTGCTGTGTGTGTAAGGGTGTTGTTAGTGTGAGGGTACTGTTAGTGTGTGTGTGTGTGTGTGTGTAAGGGTGTTGTTAGTGTGTGCTGTGTGTGTGTAAGGGTGCTGTGTGTGTGTGAGGGTGCTGTGTGTAAGGGTGCTGTTAGTGTGTGTGTGTGAAGGCGCTGTGTGTAAGGGTGCTGTTAGTGTGTGCTGTGTGTGTGTATGTGTGAGGGTGCTGTGTGTGTAAGGGTGTTGTTAGTGTGAGGGTGCTTTTAGTGCATGTGTGTGCTGTGTGTGTAAGGGTGATGTATGTGTGTGTGCTGTATGTTTGTGTGTAATGTGTGGGCCGTTTAGTTAATATCCCCCCTCCCTTCTTACCTTATGTCGGGAGGGGGGGACCGTGCTCCTGCCTTCCCTGGTGGTCCAGTGGAGAGTGAACTGTGGGGGCAGAGTTCACTCTCGCGAGATCTGAGCGTTGCCGCGGTAACCGTGGCAACGCTCCGACCGTGCAAGAGGAACCCGGCGGAGCTGCTGACAAGAGCTCCCCGGGTCCTCTCCTGCCTCCCTCACTTCCTATGGGTTGGTGAGGGATAACTTTGATCTCCCTCACCGGCCCACGGAGGGAGGCACATAGCACGTGCCGCAGGGATTATGGTGTGCCCCTATGGCCACCTTAAAGGACCACTATAGTGCCAGGAAAACATACTCGTTTTCCTGGCACTATAGTGCCCTGAGGGTGCCCCCACCCTCAGGGTCCCCCTCCCGCCCGGCTCTGGAAGGGGAAAGGGGTAAAAACTTACCTTTTTCCAGCGCTGGGCGGAGAGCTCTCCTCCTCCTCTCCGCCTCCGTTACGCCCCGCCGGCTGAATGCGCACGCGCGGCAAGAGCTGCGCGCGCATTCAGCCGGTCTCATAGGAAAGCATTTACAATGCTTTCCTATGGACGCTGGCGTGCTCTCACTGTGATTTTCACAGTGAGAAGCACGCAAGCGCCTCTAGTGGCTGCCAATGAGACAGCCACTAGAGGATTAGGGGGAAGGCTTAACCCATTCATAATTATAGCAGTTTCTCTGAAACTGCTATAATTATGAAACAATGGGTTGAGCCTAGCTGGACCTGGCACCCAGACCACTTCATTAAGCTGAAGTGGTCTGGGTGCCTAGAGTGGTCCTTTAAGTATTATTATATATTATATTGTTTATTGTATTATTTTATTTTACTCGACTTGTTCACCACTGACCATTTTGAGTTCACTTTACTTGTTTTTACTAGTGTTTTGGTTTGAATTGAGTCTGACGATAGTGGACGCAACAGTACCACAATGTACTTTATTTAACCCCTTCAGGACGGAGTCAATAGTGCACGTTCTGATCAAAACAAAACGTAAACAAAAATTAGAATTTGCGCTATATGTCTGTTCAACCGTAATTCACCGCTGTCACATTAAGTCCACCCACACTTATTATATATCATTTTGTTCAGGAGAAACAGGGCTTTAATTTATCATTAACTATTCATATATGGAACATAATTTATTATGAATAAAATTTTAAAAAATTTGAGAAAATAAGATTTTTTTAAAAAGTTGTATTTCCGTCTGACATTTTAGCTGTGAATGTCATAATACTGTTAGATTTTACTGCAACAAAATGCACATATTTGTAATCAGCGATGTCTCACGAGTACAACAGTACCCCCCATTAACAGGTTTTATGGTGTTTTGGAAAGTTACAGGGTCAAATATAGAACGTTCCATTTTCAAATTGAAATTTGCCAGATTAGTAATGTTACATTTGAGACGGTGTGGTAGCCCAGGAATGAGAATTACCTCCATAATGGCATACCATTTGAAAAGGTAGACAACCCAAGGTATTGAAAGTGGGGTATGTTTAGTCTTTTTTAGTAGCCACTTAGTCACAAAAACTGGCCAAAGTTAGCGTTCATATTTGTTTTTGTGTGAAAAAAGCAAAAAACTAATATTTGGCCAGTGTTTGTGACTAAGTGGCTACTAAGAAAGACTGGACATACCCCACTTGCAATACCTTGGGTTGTCTACTTTTGCAAATGGTATGCCATCATGGGGTGATTCTCATTCCTGGGCTAACATACGCTCTCAAAGGCAACATAACCAATCTGGCAAATTTCAATGTCAAAAAAATTAAATGCAAGCCTTATATGTGACTCTCTAAATTTCCAAAACACCATAAAACCTGTACATGGGGGTACTGTTATTCTTGGGAGACTTCAGTAAACACAAATATTAGTGTTTTAAAACAGTAAAACATATTACAGCAATAATACAGTCCATAAAAGTGCTGTTCATTTGTAAAAAATGCAAAAAACTTCACTTTTACTTAAAATATCATCGTTGTAATACAATTTACCAGTTTGAAACACTAATATTTGAGTTCAGTGAAGTCTCCTGAGTAAAACAGTACCCCATATGTACAGGTTTTATGGTGTCTTGGAGAGTTTCAGGGTCAAATATAGTGCTTGCGTATTAAATTCTCTGCACTTTCTCCCTGTGTTGTCAGACATGTCAATCAAATTTGAATTAATCAAATCACATAATTATGTTAAAAGATTACTTAAATATACATGTAGAATTTTAATGTATATGCATTTATAGGTATTTAAATTCTACGTGTATACTAATGTAATATTTTATGTAATTATATGTATTTATCTCTATATATATATATATATATATATTGGAAGGCATGGCCTGAAGTTGTGGGAGGGGCTATAGACCTATAAAAGGGACTCCCCCTCTCCCTACTTACCTTTGTTGGTCAGACGAATAGACTGTTCAAGGTCAGCATTTGCATGAGATCCACTTCCAGGTCATACAAGACGCCATTTTGGTTTCACCTTTGCTCCATGAGGTCTCTTACTCCAAGCTGTGTCCATGAATCCTGCAGCAGGGATTTCCGTTAATCCAGTGGCTTTCTCTCCGGTCAGCATCGCATTTGGTGTCTCAGGGACTCTCAAACCGTAAGTTGACCCACCTGTCGCGCCAGGATTAGTTCCCACGGCGTTCAACACAGCACGGGTCCTCACTTTACGGTTTCCTTTCGTTTTGCACGGTTATTTCGTTACCTTATACTCACCTAGCTGTTTATGTAAAATCTGTTGGTTAAAATCTGTTTTGGTTAAAAATCTGTTGGGTTAAAACTACAAACGACATACAATTTTTTCGCCTACACACTGACCCCTATCGGTCCTCATTCAATGTAGTACAGGCTTCTCAGATATTATTGCATTTCATGTACAAACCACTGCATTTGGGCCTACACACTGACCCCTATCGGTCATCGGTGTACTACAGGTTTCTTAGACGTTTTTGCATTTCATGTACAAACCACTGCATTTTCACCAAGACACTGACCCCTACCGGTCATTCTGTGTACTACAGGCATCTCAGACATTATTGCATTTCATGTACGAACCACTGCATTTGTGCCTACACACTGACCCCTATCGGTCATCGGTGTACTACAGGTTTCTTAGACGTTTTTTGCATTTCATGTACAAACCACTGCATTTTCACTGCATTTTCACCAAGACACTGACCCCTACCGGTCATTCTGTGTACTACAGGCATCTCAGACATTATTGCATTTCATGTACGAACCACTGCATTTGTGCCTACACACTGACCCCTATCGGTCATCGGTGTACTACAGGTTCTTAGACGTTTTTGCATTTCATGTACAAACCACTGCATTTTCACCAAGACACTGACCCCTACCAGTCATTTTGTGTAACTACAGGCATCTCAGACACTATTGCATTTCATGTACAAACCAACGAACCACTGCATTGGCGCCTACACACTGACCCCTACCGGTCATTCGGTGTACTACAGGCTTCTTAGACATTATTGCATTTCATGTACAAACCAACGAACCACTGCATTTTCATCTAGACACTGACCCCTACCGGTCATTCGGTGTACTACAGGCATCTCAGACATTATTGCATTTCATCTACAAACCAACGAACCACTGCATTTGCGCCTACACACTGACCCCTATCGGTCATTCGGTTTACTACAGGCTTCTCAGATATTATTGCATTTCATGTACAAACCAACGAACCACTGCATTTTCACCTAGACACTGACCCCTATCGGTCATTCGGTGTACTACAGGCTTCTTAGACGTTTTTGCATTTCATGTTCAAACCAATTAACCACTGCATTTTAACCTACACACTGACCCCTACCAGTCATTCAGTGTACTACAGGCTTCTCAGATATTATTGCATTTCATGTACAAACCAACAAACCACTGCATTTTCACCTAGACACTGACCCCTATCGGTCATTCGGTGTACTATAGGCTTCTTAGAAGTTTTTTGCATTTCATGTACAAACCACTGCATTTTCACTGCATTTTCACTGCATTTTCACCAAGACACTGACCCCTACCAGTCATTTGGTGTAACTACAGGCATCTCAGACATTATTGCATTTCATGTACAAACCAACGAACCACTGCATTTGCGCCTACACACTGACCCCTACCAGTCATTCGGTGTACTACAGGCTTCTCAGACATTATTGCATTTCATGTACAAACCAACGAACCTACATGCTGACCCTTACCGGTCATTCAGTGTACTACAGGCTTCTCAGACTTTATTTCACTTCATAAGCAAACAAACTAACTACAGCATTTTCACTTTTATACTGACTCCTATCTGTCAAACGGTATACTACAGGCTTTTCAGACATATGGTTATTCCCCTCATAACATTCCCACTATAATTATAATTACACAATAACACTTCCTTATAAATCATGCTTACTATGATATCATTCCTGCATACCTGCCTTCATAGGCATTTAGTTACATTTACTGACAATACGCATACATTTACCCAAGAATACACATACTATTTAAAGCACTATGCAGTTTTCCAGAGTCTAATACGGAATATTTGCACGCTTAAAATATAAGTCCTTCCAATTATGTATTTTCACTTATTAGGTTATTCAGCTGCCAGTCATGGTTCACTACACTCATGTTTCGGGGTACAGTTGTGTTCCATATCACACATGATATAACACTCCCGACAAGTTAATTTCCTTCAAACAGGGGCATTACAAGCATACAATAAACATTGGGACAGAGCACTTTGCTCTATTAAACTTGCATAACACACATATGGATATACGCTTTTAAATGTCTATATCGATTTTCATACATTGTTTTACCCGTCTGGGATACAGGTATTAATAACCTTTACGACCAGTAAGGGTATCTAATCATACTACCAGGTACATACACCTGCTCATGTGGTATATACATACATTTTCTGTTTCCCCCTGGGTATATCCTTAGCGTACTGGCAATTAGGGACTATAGGTTTCCAATAGATATTTTCCTTTCTTGGCATCTACGCCTGTCGTATAGTGGTCCCGCGAGGCCAACACCCCGCCTCAACGCTCGGAGGCAAACACCCATCGGGCCACTCGTGAGCTAGCCGCCTCGCATGGTATATAGAGAGGGCCTCACCTGTCACTCCCTTCCCCTTTTTTATGGTTACAGTCACCGAGAGGCCAACATCCTGCCACTACGTTTGGTGGCCACAAAAATCCCCTCGCGCCATTGCATAGATAGAGCCTCTCAAGCCACTTGGCAACTAGCAGGGCCTCACCTGTCACCAAACAAAGGATTAATTGTTTCGCCTTGCGGCTTTAGCTAGCAAGCCAGTACTAGCACACTGTGGGTTCATATAATAATGGCTATCTTCATATTTTTTAGTATGTATCAAGCAGGTGGTAAGGATTTCTCTCTACCTAACACTCCAGCTAGAGTCAACACACTTTCACTTGGAGATGTTGCTAGTCCCACAGGACAATTTTGTCCCAACACAGCGGACGATCACGTTTCAGGCTCCAGGCTCTAGCACCTCTGGTAGGACGTAGCGAACTACCCGAGATAAATTGGGTCGTCTCATTCTCTTTGGCAAATCCCAGATTTGCAACAATTTCCATGTTGGCACATGTAGTTTCAGTGCATGCAGACTGTTGCAGATATGTTCCCAATATGTCAGGGCACATGCAAAACCATGTGTCCCAATAAATGTACCCTGAACCTTACTTCTCGTCTGTAAACATTATGCATTTCCAGTACTTTCTAACTTATCACCCTTCCAGACATTTAGTTTATTTCCTAATCTCCGATTTTAAAGGCCTTCTGTTCAGGTATTGCCATATACTTTTGGGGAAATCTAGAATGCCCTAACTTGCAGTCATCACAGCAGCATCCAACAGCTGGCATTACACTCATGGCCCAAGAAATGGCAGAAATATTTCTACCTGGGCCTCTCCGATCTACACTATTTACAGTGTGGCGCAATCCCATTGTAACTGATCATAGACTTATCTGCACCTCACGCCTCGGCTACCCCATAATCTCAACTCCCTCATACTCTCCGAGGAGTTTTCATTACAGTATGCCACCATTGTTCATACCATGACAACTATCACTCAAGCAGGGAGGGGAAGCCTGGTTAAGTAAAACTGATATCACAAACGCATTTCAGACTGCCACCATCCACCCTGCACTGGCACTTACAGGGCATTTATGGGCAGCAGTTATATATTTCTTATCCCGCTTAACTTTCGGGTCAAGAGCAGCCCACAATCTTCAATATATTCGTTGAACTCTTTACTGGTTGTGGTTAAACATATCCAGATGCCCCACAGTCATACACTCCCGAGATGATTTCTTGTTGGTCAAAGGGAATGCCTTTCCCTCTAGAAGCTTCAAGGAAGCCATTAGTATGTCTGAACACTTGGGTGTCCCAGTATTCCCTAAGGTCACAGAAGACCCAGACACTGTCGTTACATTCCTGGGCATACAACTTGACTCGGCATCCATACCAACAAGTTACCACGCGAGAAATAGGAACAGTCGCAACAACACCAATTACCACCTCCTGCTTGGTACTTGCAACCACATGGAACTACAATCCCTACCAGGTTCCTTAAATTTTGCCATGCACATCGTACCGCAGGCCACGCTTTCATCTCAGACCACTTTGCTTTTTCCTCCCTCCCGAATGATGATCAGGGGCTGTCCCTAGACAACCAAGCCATGGCAGACCTACACATATGGTGGACTTTCTTAACCACACGTAATGGTAAATTATTGTGGCAGCTGCCGTGACAGCCGCCATGGCAGGGGGTCATTTATGGTCAAGGTCATGGATTACATGAACCTCGCCAACATAGCCGGGCTCTGACTAAACTGGCCTTGTCCACCAGCACTCAACACGCTTGCTACAGGGTTTTCCACTTATACAATACGTTTCATGTCGGACCATCACTTAGATAGCTGGTTTGAGGTTTCACCACGTATGGCCTTCGCCTCTTTTTGCCACCTTAAGTTAATAATTCTCGCACAACACGGTTAAACTTTATCTCACGGGCATTCAACCCTATACGTATTTCTCCATCCCAAACAACAAGGCTTCCTATCCTCCTACCCCATACATGCCTTACTTAGAGACATGGCCAAGCGGACGTTCCCGCTAAAACTAAATACTGGCCATAGACATACAATGTTCAAACCATGACAGAACCACTCGACCATGCACTTCCGAGCCACGCACCAATGCAGTTATCAAAACTGCTACCTATCTAGCCTTTAACGGCTTTCTCAGGCCAAAACAATAACTCACTATCAGCGGCCTACATCATAAACAAGAGTACCTGGTGACCTCTAAAACACACAGACCACTATGTCCGGTCCCTTCCTAAAACTAAGATGAGTCAGAGGGGCGAGCCAGTGCATATAACCTACTACCTTTCAAGCAATGCTGGGTGCCCGGTTAAGGTACTGATTACGTTCTTGGGCACGCCACCATACGCACCACTGAACCATTACTGTCGCTGTACGATACTGTCCTTACCACAGGTAAGTTCATGCACTATGTCCACCTACTCATTCATCGTGCTCGAACTAAACCCTAGCGACTACTCAGGGCACTCCTTTTGGATAGGAGCAGCTTACACAGCCCATAGCCAAGACATCCCCGCACACGTTAAGACACGGGGCCGCTGGGAATCATAGGCTTATGCGATGTACATACCACAGCCGATTCAGGAATTAGGACGCTTTCATTAAAATGTCTAACTGATGGTTAACAAATGCACTATGATCCTGTATAATGTTTTGCATTAATATTTCTCTTTTTGCCCACTTTTTACCGGCTTACAGCATAGGTCGGTTTCGGCACACCTCAACCGATTATTCCTAAAGCTACATCTCTACAACCCATCTTATTCTATATCATATGAGAATGCCCCGAACACAAATTGGAAGGCATGGCCTGAAGTTGTGGGAGGGGCTATAGACCTATAAAAGGGACTCCCCCTCTCCCTACTTACCTTTGTTGGTCAGACGAATAGCCCCACCCTCCACTCCCATTGTTCATATTTCCTCTATGTAAGCCCACTTTTTACCGGCCTACAGCATACGTCGGTTTCGGCACACCTCAACCGATTATTCCAAAGCTACATCTCTACAACCCATCTTATTCTATATCATATGAGAATGCCCCGAACACAAATATTATATATATATGATCTAAGTATATATACACATATACATACACACATGTACACTGTCTAGGTGTATTTTACTATTAATATATATATATATATATATATATATATATATATATATATATATATATATATATATATATATATATATATATATATATATTAATAACAAAATACAGTTAGAATGAAATTACATATGAATATATAATTTATATTAAATTTTGTTTCAATATTGTATTTATTTATTTTATTATTTTATTTATTTATTATTGTAACTAATGTGTATATATATATAATATATATGTATATATCTATTATATATATAATATATATACATATTATATATATGTAACGTCATTCTAAGTGTATTTTAATACTAATATATGTACTTATATTAATATTAAAATAAACTGCGTATGATGTTTATACACATAATTTTTTATTTTAAACATGATTAATTAATTTTACACCTCCTACCAGCAGGGGGACTGTCTGACATTTCAGTCCCCCTGCTGGCAGATCCACAGCCAGCTATAGGGAGCCATGTGATCGCTCTTTGATCGCTATAGGGAGCCATGTGATCGCTCTTCGCTCACATGCCCCCCGGGGGCCTGATTTGCCGGGGGAGGGCTGCCTGGGCTGTCAGAAGATGATTGCGGCGGAGGTAAGTACCTCCGATCTCCTGGGGCTGCAAGCCATTACGGCGTTCTATGCCGCCGCAACGGCTTTAAAGCCCTTTTAATGCGGGACGGCATCGAACGCCGTAACTGCGTTAAGGGGTTAATATTTCATAATTTAATATATACCTTTTACAGTTTACAGGTAATAATAGCTTGTTGGGTTATAATATTGGCCTGTAAGCTTGTAGATTGTATGTGGACTTCAAATATTCTGCTACAGTCTAATCTAACATAAATAACATATTAATGTACTTAGAATGTTTATACTCTTTTGGGGGAACACCTCTCTATATAGACGTATACACATGAGAGACGGACTCCCATATAAGCTCCAGAACTCCTGGAGTTCTGTTTTATGTTATTCTAGATCAGACTTTTGCCCTCCAAATGTTGCTGAACTACAACTCCCATGAGTCTACGAATGAAATAGATAGGCTGAGAATCATGGGAGTTGTAGTTCAGCAACATCTGGAGGGCTGGAGTTTGGGGAAGCCTGCTCTAGATGTATAGCGGTCTCTTTTGTCCTGGTGGGGGTGTACCCGCTCAAGTCCCTGTTCCTTCAAGATTGTTACGTTTGTCTCTCTATGGATGTTTTATGCTGTCATTTAATCTCATAAATAAAGATTTGTTAAAAAAAAAAAAAAAGAGAGAATATTTTTCCACACTGCCTCATAAAATTAGACACTTATCTTAATGTGTTACTGTATACTGAAATAGACATGAGTCCATTCAGGGAATTAATAATCTAATAACCTCCATGACGAATGGAGACTTGTCTGTCAATGAGAAATGTCTAATCAATGAGGTTTACATAACTGATTTTTCTATCTATTAAATTCCACTTCTGTTCTGGGTTACTGAGTTCATTTTAGAACAAAAGCATAGATTGCCATGTTAATGTCATGAATGATATATCGTTTACTGTAAAAAAAAGGTTCAGTCTGTTTATTATTGAACAAACCTCTGGACTAATATTTATTGGACACCCAAATGGCCATTAAACTGCCATAGGTTACCGACATGGTCTACAGTTCACACAACAAACAACAACTTGTATGTGATCACTGCTAAATGTGGAGGAAAAAACACTGTAATGAAGCCCATGGAATAGCAAAGCTAGGTGGAATGGGCCTTGACAGAGCTAGGAGGCTGGCCTATGGAGGAGTGTGTCTGGATTGGTTAGTGGGTAAAAGGGGGAGTGGCTTAGACATATAATAATTCGCCATTTTAAATTTGGGTTCCATTTTAATTTGAAATCTTTACCTGTTGTTAGCTGTCCCACCCACCCTCCCTAATTTAGTTGGTTAAGGGCTAAGAGTCATGACTCTCCCGTTTTGTCACGGCGGTGGTGGATGGATTAGGTTAATTGGGGGTACGTCGGTTTTTGGTAAGTGGGATAGGTCAGGAGGAATACTTACCTTTAGATTTGGTGGTAGGTTCGAGCTCGGCGGTAGCTACGAACCTGGGGGTGTAGGGGTGTCTCGGTATACCCCTACACTGGAAATGGATGCCCTTGGTGGCTGGGATAATGGTGTAGGGGTGTCTTGGTATGCCCCTACAGTGGAAAGGGATGCCCTTGGTGGCTATGATAATGGCGTAGGGGTGTCTTGGTATGCCCCTACAATTGGAAATGGAGGCCCTGGGTGGCTATGTTAAGGTTTATGGTATTTATGCTATGTTATACTGTTAGTTGGATGTATTCTGTAAATATGTTGGAGGTCATTGTCTGGGTATTTAGTTATGTTAATTGGGGGGATGTCTTTTCAAGCGTTGTTGACAATGACCTTTTAAATTTATATTTTATTATTTATATATATATAATAAAGCCGTGGAATATTTTGCCAATTCATTCATGTGTCTGTGATTATTAAAGGTTATAATTGGTTTATAACAGGAATAGGCCAAAAAGACGACTATGCGCATGTCATGAAGGATAAAGCATCCTATCTTACCTCTTGTGTCTCCCCATCCGGTTACCCAACAGAAATGGCCTGGCCGCAGAGCAATTTCTCTTCTAGGAAGACATGCATACTGGATGAAGTGTGTGGTTAAAATGTCTCCTTCTGGTTTCACCAAAGCAATATCATAATCAAGCTCATTTAGATGAGGGTAGCGGAAGCGTTCGTGTCTGTAAATACGCTTCACATTGTAAATCTTTTCCGTAGGTTCTGTACGGTTAAGGTTATGTTTACCAAGGACAATTCTCCAATTTGCTGCATCTTCTGCCTTCCCCCTTGGAAATAATACAGGTTAACAGATCAGTGCAATCCATGACAAATGAAAAGAACTTACAAAAAAAATCACAAGTAATTAAGCATTCTAATTTGGCAGATTATTTTTTTTTTATTCAAATCTTATGCTGTGGACGCCATGGTGTCAATTTACGTAATAGTTGATAAGATGGCTTAATTGATTGGTTCTAACCTTGTGTAAATTAGTAGATAAGGAGTATACCTGTAGATTAGAAATCACATAGATCTGTAGATCTTGATTGATTTTGTCAATGGTAGAATTGATGAATATACAGTGAGGGGAAAAAGTATTTGATCCCCTGCTGATTTTGAACTTTTGCCCACCGACAAAGAAATTATCAGTCTATAATTTTAATGGTAGGTGTATTTTAACAGTGAGAGACAAAATAACAAAAAAAAATATCCAGCAAAACGCATGTCAAAAAAGTTATAAATTAATTTGATTGCCTTGTTGGCAATCACAGAGGTCAGATGTTTCTTGTAGTTGGCCACCAGGTTTGCACACATCTCAGGAGGGATTTTGTCCCACTCATCTTTGCAGATCCTTTCCAAGTCATTAAGATTTCGAGGCGGATGTTTGGCAACTCGAACCTTCAGCTCCCTCCACAGATTTTCTATGGGATTTTCTAGGCCACTCCAGAATGTGCTTCTTAATGTGCTTCTTCTTGAGCCACTCCTTTGTTGCCTTGACTTTGTGTTTTGGGTCATTGTCATGCTAGAATTACCATCCACGACCCATTTTCAATGCTCTGGTTGAGGGAAGGAGGTTCTCACCCAAGATTTGATAGTACATGGCACCGTCCATCGTCCCTTTGATGCGGTGCAGTTGTCATTTACCAGAAAAACATCCCTAGAGCATAATGTTTCCACCTCCATCTTTGATGGTGTTCTTAGAGTCATAGGCAGCATTCCTCATGGACGCACTGGCCCAGGCAGTGCTGCAGCCGCCTGAGGCTCTCTATAGAGCACTCAGGCAGCTGCAGCATGAGGGGGCTGGTGCTCCTGGCCCTTTCCTAAGGGGCACCCTAAGCAACTGCCTAAGTTGCCTATAGGAAGTGCCGGCCCTGAATCTGACCTATAACACTTTCACCCAGTTCTCCTCTGAATAATTCAGATGTTTATTGGCAAACTGCAGACGGGCCTGTACATGTGCTTTTCTGAGCAGGGGGACCTTGCGGGCGCTGCAGGATTTCAGTCCTTCATGGTGTAGTATGTTACCAATTGTTTTCTTGGTGACTATGGTCCCAGCTGCCTTGAGATTGTTAACAAGATCCTCCCATGTAGTTCTGGGCTGATTCCTGAAACTCCATGAGATCTTGCATAGCACCAGACCGAGGGAGACCGACAGTTATTTTGCGTTTCTTCCATTTGCAAATAATCGCACCAACTGTCACCTTCTCACCAAGCTGCATGATGATGGTCTTGTAGCCCATTCCAGCCTTGTGTAGGTTTACAATCATGTCCCTGACATCCTTGGACAGCTCTTTGGTTTTAGCCATGGTGGAGAGTTTGGAATCTGATTGATTGCTTCTGTGGACAGATGTCTTTTATACAGGTAATGAGCTGAGATTAGGAGCACTCCCTTTAAGAGAGTGCTCCTAATCTCTGCTCGTTACCTGTATGAAAGACATATGGGAGCCAGAAAACTTGCTGATTGAAAGGGGATCAAATACTTATTTCACTCATTGACATGAAAATCAATTTAGACTTTTTTTGACATGCGTTTTTCTTGAATTTTGTGTTGTTATTCTGTCTCTCACTGTTAAAATACACCTACCATTAAAATTATAGACTGATCATTTCTATGTCAGTGGGCAAATGTTCAAAATCAGCAGGGGATCAAATACTTTTTTCCAATCACTGTATTTAAACATTAGCATATTATTGACTATCAATCAAAATCACATGTTGAATCTATTAATTGTATAAAATCAATAATATGAAATATACCCACTGACGGTACCATCTGATATCACTTATTGATATATATATATATATATATAAAACATGAGCCTGTTGATCTTGCTCACTAATGTACAGGAAAGGAGCCAATGATGGTGCTTATTGGATATTAATTAAAGTAAACCAGCTGATGGTCTCTATCCACGTCCAGGAAAGACTAAGCTGTTGGATGCCCAGGGAATAAACTCAATTATGGCACCTACTGGTTTACAGAAAAGGAACTTGTTCATGACACTAAATAATGGACTGAAATGGCTGCCAAATGAACCTGCTAATAGTAGAGATTTTATTTATTACCATGCTCACCCAATATAGTATTTTAGCCTAATGTCACTACAACCCCCACTTCCCAGCCGAATGTAGAAGCCAGTGGCAACTTGGTGACATTTGGGAATGAACCTATTCACCGTTCTCCATCTAATTTGCTCTTACTAGTATGATCCTGAATTTGGCATCTGGAAGGTACATGCCAAAACCCTATAGTAGTTCAGCTTGCTGACGTATTTCAGGGTTTAAACTTCAGGTCTCACATCCCTTTTATATCCACTCATAAAGGTATGTCATGCCACACAGTTTCCAATTTTTGTTGGACAAGACAGGAAGATTGTTGTTACTGACATTCTCCCCAGGTGGGAGCATAGGTGAGTGAGTAGTTGCCATTGGTTGAAAAGGTAATTTAAAATAATTTCTTTAATATGGGGGAGTGGGGAAGGAACTCTCTAAATATCATAGCTGAATAACAGTTTTAATGTTAAAGTGATCCTCTAACTGAGAGAGGTATTGAGAAAAATATATATAAATAATCTTTTCAATGATTCTTCAACATATGAATACTTACTTCTGAAAACAGTGGGCCGCAGTGAGGACCCAATTTTTGTGAATGAGCGTCCCACCGCAGACGTGAACAAATTTCTTACTTCCTCTAGACTTAACCTTGCAGTAAAAAATAGACAAAAAACATACTTTAACAGATTGGAACAGCACACAGATTTACAATCTTTATTATATAAAACCTACATATTATACATTATAAGTTATTGTGTTTTGTTTTGTTTTTTAGTTTTTTAAAGGATTGCATTCTCTGGAACGTATTGATCATAAAGCCACACAGAGGACATTTCAGTGGACAGAAATGGCCGCCCCGTAGTAAATCAATAAAATTCATCCTCTCGTGAATCTAAATTGGATTTCCCTCTAATGGCATCCACAGACTAAGAAACTAGTCTGATATGCCACAGGGTAAGGTTCTCACTGTAATAACACAAGTGTGATAAAAGCTAAGACCTGGGTTATTTGAGTTGCTGTCTGTTTTTGGTGTTCAAATTAACTCTTGTTTTTGGTGCATTAATACCCCACATCCATTTAAAAATATGTAGTTATTAACTTCCACCCAGTGGACAAAGGTCAGGATTTTAGGGGGACAAAGTAGTAGAGTAGATCCTCTCCTAATGATAATTCAGTACTCTCACCCCCCTACCCTCAGGATGAGGTTCTATTACAAGCTATATACATCTTACTGTCAATGGGTTGGGAGAAGCAGTTGGTGCCACTAGCTGACAGATTTTTAATCCTCACACGACCAAGGCAACTTGTCAGGCAGCTTCAATATAGCATTTGATAGAAAATACTATAATACATTAATGGGATACTCTAAGCGCCTAAACAACGTTAGCTTAATGAAGGTGTTTTGGTGTATAGATCATGCCCCTATAGTCTTACTGATCAATGTTCTGCATCTTAGAAGGTAGATCAATTTGTTTATATGTGATAAAAATGCAATTGAAAGGGCAGTAGATAAGAACTTTTAAAGTAAACATACTGTGCTGTAAGACCTGATTGAAAACCTTGTTTTTTCATGCAGCCTGTACTATACCTTCGGGTACCGCGCGGCAGCCACTAAGATCCCTGTCCCACGCTGCTCTCACTTGGTTGAACGCTGCGTTCCTGGACACCTCCAGCTCAGAGGTCATGCGCAATTCTCTCCATGGAACTGCAGACAGCTCTGCACTATCTGCAAGGTTGACGGATTTCCCGTGCAACCTCACGCAACCTTCAGGTGTCCTTTGAAATTACAGGACCCTGTGGATGTAACACTTTATACTCACCTTTTAGTCATGTTATATTTGTTGGAGGTTTTGCACAGGTCATACCCCTTTGTGTTTCTTGGTGCAGTGTGATGATGGTGTCCAATAGTATTCTTTCTAGCCCTAAATAAGTTCCCCCCCTTGTTGGGAATCATTGCCCTGTTGTGGCTATCCTGACTGTCTGTATCCCTTTGACCTTGGCTTGTTTTCTCGTTCTTGTGTACCTGTGCATTCCTTGACCTAGGATTCCTTTATTACTACCTTTTTGTTGCCTTTTTAGGCACACGTTAAGTCCGGACACTTTAAGGTCCGGTATACGCATCCTGTTCTTCCTCTTATTTTGGCTAATATCCTTCTCTTTGTGTGTAGGGGTTACCCCGATCGTAACAGCCTATGTGAGGAGTCACAACCAAGGGAGGTAGGTCTACGGCTACATAAACACAAAAAAAGTAATTTAACTCCTATGTGGCACAGAACTGAGCAGTGCGACGGCAGGGGCTTGATCTATACACCAAAACCGCTTCATTAAGCTAAAGTTGTGTTGGTGCTTACAGTATCTTAGAGTTTAAGAAATTAAAACTGTGGCACAAGGATTTATTTTACCTGCAAGGAAACCTGCCAGGGCCAGGAATATGGTCGTACTTCATTCCCAGACACTATCCTCCCAGCTGTGTTTTGTTGGAAAAAAGCAACTCCACAATCTGCTGGCCAATCTGAATAAACAATGGAAGTAAGAATTAGTACATTTCTATATCCCATGATGCCCTCTGCTCAAGTTTCCAACTTTTGTTTTAAACTTTTCTCTGGAAGTAATTTGCCTCTTGTTTAATACTTACGTATTTGTATCCATATCCCTCTTCGCTATTACCTTTAAAATATGTGTTTTCCTTTACCTAAAATGTCTTGTAGTTGTACTTTCAAAACAGTCTGAGGCTCATGTGAAATGGACGTGGCAAAGTATGTGTGTGTAAATATATATATATGATTTAAGGCTGATAACACAGATTACCATTGGCTTTATTGGGAAAGCATTGTGTATGGAGCTTTGCTATTTCACGTGCACTAGAAGATAGAGGGGGAGGGGGGGGTGGTTTGTATGAGTTACATAGTTACATACTGAAAAGAGACTTGCGTCCATCAAGTTCTGCCTTCCTCACATATGTTTTTGCTGTTGATCCAAAAGAAGGCAAAAAACCCAGTCTGAAGCGCTTATTGCTCTTACTGTAAAACAAACTTTTCTTTGCTTTAGATGAAATCTCCTTTCTTCCAGCCTAAATGTGTGACCTCATGTCCTATGTATAGCCCTGTTTATGAATAGATTTCCAGAAAATGGTTTGTACTGGCCCTGAATATATTTGTATAATGTTATCATATCCCCTATGAGGCGCCGTTTTTCCAAACTAAAGCGATTTAATTTTTTTAACCTTTCTTCGTAACTAAAATGCTCCATTCCTTTTATCTATTTTGTAGCTTGTCTCTGCACTTTTTCTAGTGCCATGATATCCTTCTTTAGAACAGGTACCCAAAATTGCACAGCATATTCAAGGTGTGGTCTTACCAGCGATTTATGGTACTTACCTACAATATTGTGTAGTGTGGTGGGGTAGGGTAGTATGCAACCCCTGTAAGTGGATGTTATGCCAATGAAAAGCCAAATGAAGGGCTGAAATAGGAACACAGCGTAGTGTATGCAGAGTGTGTGTGTTAGTGTAGTGAATGCTGAGTGTGCGTGTCAGTGTAGTGAATGCTGAGTGTGCGTGTTAGCGTACTGAATGCAATGTGTGTTAGCATAGTGTATGCAGAGTGTGCGTGTTAGCGTAGTGAATGCAGAGTGTGTATTAGTGTATGCAGTTTGTGTAAATGTTGTGCACACATTCATTTTAATAAATGTTATCCCTCCCCTCCCTGCTTCTTACTTGTGCCTCAAGTTACTTACTGTCTCAGTAGTAATGCCACTGTCTGGAATGCTCCCTCAGTCTCTCTGCTCGCTTCTGCAACTTTTCCATTCTTGCTATCCCTCCCTTCTCTATCTCTCCCCCCTATGCCTCCCTTCCTTCCTTATCTCTCCCCCATGCCTTTCTCCCTATCTCTCATTTCCATGCCTCCCTCCCTTCCTTATCTCTCCCCCATACCTCCCTCCCTTCCTTATCTCTCCCCCATGCCTCTCTCCCTGTCTCTCCCCCATGTCTTCCTCCCTATCTCTCACCCCATGTCCCTATCTCTCCCACTATGTCTCTCTCCCTATCTCACCCCATGTCTCTCTCCCTATCTTTCCCCTCATGTCTCTCTCCCTTCCATCTCTCCCACATGTCTGTCTCCCTTCCATCTCTCACCCACCATGTCTGTCTCCATTCCATCTCTCTCCTCCCCATGTTTCCCTCCCTTACATCTTTATCCCCCCCCATATCTCCCTACCCCTTACCCCTATGTCTCCACCCCAATGTCACCACCCCTTACATTTATGACCTCCTAGGTCCTCCCTTTCTTCATCCATATTTCCCTCCTTCCCTAATAGCAGGCACCTTTTAACTAACAGAGCCTGTGCCCTGCTCTAGCCCACACATTATTGGCCCCCCTCACTGCCCTTTCACTTCACATAGCAGGGGAGGGGGACCTCTGGACGTCCACCCCAGCGGAGTGCTGAGTCAGACTGAGCGCCGGGTAGTCACGTGACACCCGGCGCTCCCACGCAGGGCGGAAGGGGGATGCGCTTCCCCTCCCAGTTTACAGTGCCTGTGGTTCCCTTATGGAGCCATGCGCTGCCTGGGGGTGCCAGGAGCGCAGGTGGAAGGGGTGCAAAAATCACTTGCCACATTGACAAGTGATTTTTGCCCCCTCCCCCCCCCGGCATGCGCCCCGGGCGAGCGCAGGTTTTACCAACCCCATGGAAAGCCCCTGACAGTGTGCAACACTGACATTTAGTGCCTCCACCCTCTGCGTGCTGACACTGAGCTTTCCTCATAGAGATGCATTGATTCAATGAAGAGATACTGATTAGCCAGTGCTGTGTTTGACTTGTGCTGGCTCTGATCTGCCACCTTGACAGTCTCAGCCAATCTTTAGTGGAACGCATTGTGATTGGTTCACAGAATCATTTCTCATAATGTCAGGTATGCATGCAGATCAGGGGCAGACCCAGCAGCAGCAGACTGGAATATAAGTAAGATTTTACTATATTTAGGGAGGCAAGAGGGAGCTGGGAGGGGGTAGGGGATTGCTAGATGGTGGTGTTAACAATATAGGGTTAGGAATACATGTTTGTGTTTCTAACCCTATAGTGTTCCTTTAAAGCTGTTCTGCAGCAAGGGGTGGGATGTGAATTAGGCCTTCAAAGTTGATGCTAACAATTCACACACTATTCAACATTTGTTGATTACTCATAAACCCTCTGTCTCTATAAAAGCAGTGTTGGAAAATACATTGTTACTATGCACTATTAAGCATTAATTTGGCTGTATTGTACTGCATGAAGTTGTATGTTGCCATCATACTGCCAAAAAATGGTTATTAACCTAAGGAAGATAGACAGACCGTGCTAACCCTTAAAAATCTTTCCTTTAGAGAAATTACAAAAAATACCAAGATGCCGGTGAATACAGATTTCTGCACCTTCAAATGGCACTAGGAAATTGGAAGAAACGCAATACATAAATAGGTCTATAACAATACATAAATACATAAATAGGTCTGCCAGACCAAAATCCACAATAAAATCAGAACAGCTTGCATTATAGGTGGTTCAGATGACAATAGTTTGAAGCACAGCTTAATTCTAGTTGAAGTGAGCAAGTCTCACTTTCAACTGTGACAAGAATACTTTGGTGGAATGTTTGACAGCTTGAGTTCGGCAGCAGTAAAAAAGTTGTTGCTAAGATGGCAAAAAAGAGGCTTGTTGGGGTAATGAATTGATGTCAGCAGTCAGCTTAAGATGAAGGTCTTGCGGACTGATGATACAATATTTTAAAGCTTTCATTCATCACGCAGTGTTTTTGTACTATGTAGAGTGATTTTCCTCATTGTCTGATACTGACTGTCATACCGGGAAGTTGATGAAACAGCAAGGCTAGCCAGACTATGGTTTAGCAACAAGATGGGTTTGAGTTGGCTGCACTAAGGATGGCACTGTACCATCACTGATGGCAACTGTTTGCATGTGAAAAGTAGGCAGTCGAGAAGTCTATGAGCTGTATTGCAGGTGAGGTACTGTAGGTACTGTAGTGTGAGAGACTTTATATAAGCAAATTAGTTGGTTTACAAGATAAACCATTCTCAGATGAGTGATCAAGGCACACTTTTGCATGTTTTATACATATCTAGGATATACTCCCTGATATAAGAGCCTCTCACCATCCCTGTTCCTTCCTTTATGTGAGCCTTGGAGGCCATCCTCCACTTTCAACCAACAACCAAGGATTAAAAATTTATATGCCACAAAATTATCCCATCCTCCGCTAGCCTTAATTGATAGGAGACCCTACATGAAGGGATATCCAGGTGGTGTAGGACTCCCTTTTTCCTACACTCAATTTACTAGACATTTAGTAACATATGATGCTCCTCCAATATAGGTACCATGGAGCATATCTGGTGGTAATGGCCGGTGATACAGCCAGTTCAACCAGGGAGTATACCCCACTTCCCATTCTATACTACTTTCACTAGCCCTCTTAGGCTGCCTATGCGGTTTTAAAGAGACTCCCTAACAGGCTCTCCTCTGAAAGCTGCCGGAGACAGCTAGCACACTAATTTCCCTATTCTGGAAACAGACTACAAGTTTCTCTCTGTAACAATGGTTCCAAAAAGTATAAGCACTACACACTCTGGTCAGCATTGACAAAGAGACAAATACTCAGCATTCTGGTCCCCCTGGGTGGAACATTATCAAGTGTCCTCCTAGGAATACATACGGACCCTGGGACCATATTCCTGTTTTTATGGCAAACTCACACGCAAGCCAGGGCACAGCGGGACAAGTGTGCAACTATCTAATATGCAAACTTGGTGACATAATGTGGATCACACTTTTTTTTTTTTAAATATATATTATTTTTCATAATATTTTCTTATATCTTTACAAACAATTGCTTTTAAATTCCCACTTTTTTTTTCATTGTGCTTGCTGTAACTAAGCATTTCTTTTTTTTTTTATATTTATAAACTTTTATTGTTTACATAAAAGGAAATCACAGGAATACATAGAGGGGGTGATTTGCATTTCTCACATACAATCCATTTACATCATTGAAGGGGACCCATGCAGGGGTCACAGCGTATTATACATCATTCCATAACTCCATTTATTATCGTTGTGGTTGTCAGGTACCTACTGCCAAAGAGAGTTGTGTATTGCTCGAAAAAGTATGTGTATTGATCTAGGGGGTATTGCCAAAACAATAAGTGATGCCTGGGTCTCTAGTGCTGGTGTCAATACTGTGGGGGTAAACATATCATGTATGGATGTTGTACCCTCTAGTGGAGTGGTGTTACTTGTGTAATTGCCCTACTATTTTGGCGTCTGTACTGGTTTCACATTCTCCCTATGGTGAATTATATGAGCTTGGTGAGTTTGGAGTAACTCGTATTACAGTATGTTGTATTTGTTTTCAGTGGTTACCTTCTGTTTAAGGACGGTATGGGTAAGTTCAAGTTTATCAATATGGGTTGGTTGTGATCAAGGTTCCCGGTTAGGTGGTGGCTTCTTGCTCGAGATCGGGCCAGCATGGGTCTAGCAGATACTACAGTAGGGGGATCTAGCTCATGGGCTGGCTGTAGGTCTTAAATTCACACTTTTTATGTTGGTACTTATTTTCTTCTATGACCTTGTTCTATAACTCTGTTTAATCACGTCTGGTCATGTATATATCTTAATGCATATGTTGAACAATCATGCATCCCACCACCTTCTGTCTCACCATAAAACAGCAAGAAGTGAGTCAATGTATTAGTAAACTGCTTGTTATGTATTTTTATTTTTATTTTTTTTACTGCATCTCTGATGTGTGTAATGTTCCCCCCTGGATGCTGTTATGTATTGCACTGCATACTTTTAAAACGTATAAAAATGTAAAATAAATGGAAAATTCCTGCTGTTTTATCACATGCCATTCCCCGCTATTATTGAGTTTCTGAAAGATGTCTGGCATATCTTTTAAAAACGCAACTGATATTTATAGTTTTTGCACTTATTAGCTGAGTTAGTATTTACACTGGGATTACTCAGTGTTAATGACCACAAAGAAGGACAGGGTCTAAGAAGTAATTTTTTAAAAATCGGCCTGTTTCATAGGCATGGGAAGCAGCAATGTGTGCATCACGTCAAAGAACATTCCAGGCACCAAAATCACGTAATCAACAAGTGGTTTTTGGTTCCTAGAGTCACTTTTTTACCATCAAGTGTTAAACCATTATCAAACATTCCATCGCTGGGCTTAACTCAAGCAGAGAACTTCAAGCTCCAGAGATGTAGGGACCAGTGCCCAGTATACAACAGGTCAGAAGTCCAACTGTTAGTCAACAGTTTGACTATTCATATTAGGGGACACCATGCCACTCCTGGCACCATAACCATTACAGCACACTGCAGTATTTATGGTGCTTGGAGTGTTCCTTTAATATTGTTGATTTCGACACTGAATGTCTCAAGAAACAAAACTCACTATACCACTAGAAGGCAGAATACACACCAAAACAAGAAGACAAAATAAACTCCTGTAGCATAGCATGCCCACCAAAAATGCTCTGATGGTGTCCTGTCAGTGGCTGTAGACTGTGCAGCAAGGGGGCTGCTAGGATCTCTCTATACTAAGCTCCCTTATGCAACCTGTACTAATGCTGGAAGTTGGGATGGAAGTTGGAAGTTGGGATGTGACATTACCCCAGTCCGACATCAGCACAGAGCTGCATAGGGACAGCAATAGTACAAAGAAATCCCAATAAACTAGTGGGCCCCAGGGATTACTCCCTGTCAAGGTAAGAAAAGGGAGGCTGGGTGGACTGTTGTCAGGAATAGATTGGTTCCTCATCAATATATAAGTCCTCCCATACCAAAGGAACAGCTAGAGGGACAGAAGAGATGTTTTACTGGACCTTAGAGTGGACTAACTTAATGCTTAGTATAATAACTGAAGGTAGCAGAACTAAATACTATAATTAGTCCAGAGAATAACCAGAGTAACCTAAACCTGGGGAAGAAGGCAAAAGCAGTGTCAGGACTTGTCGGGTCAGGGATATTAGAAAACAAGACAGGGTCAATAGCAAAACCAGGTCAAAAAGCCAAAGAAAACCAAAATACACATAATAGCACACTTAAGAGGTCTTGAACCTTTAAAGGACACTGAACTTTTAGCAGAGCAAGTATATATAGGCCCAAGCCCATGCATCAATTTTGCGTCATTAACTCAAGAGTAAAAACAGGACTCCAAAAAAAAAATGTAAAAAGACACAAAGGTTGCTGTAGTAGTTACCCCGTGTAGCAGAGGGGTTTCAACCGCTGGAGGGTGTCCTTTTCCTGATCAGTGAGGAGGATTGTCAGCATCCAGTCATATTCCAAGAGAAGAAGTTCTTACAAGAGCTAGTGTGAATAGCTGTATAGCGGTTACCCCCAATAAGAGACAGGGCTCTAGATTGAGGGTGAAGTAGAACTGATGTTTAATGGCAGGTACTCTGCTTTTATGCAGTGCTCCCCTGCAAGGGAGACGTCCACAGGCAATTAGACATTAACCAATCAGACAACGGTACATCCCACAGATTCCCTCCCCTCTGCTTGGGAGATAATTGAGTTTCCTACTGTATCTACTCAATTATCTCCAAGCTAAAACTTATGCTTTTTTATGCATTTTTATAACTTTATGATTTTTCATCACACAGGAATAAAACTTATATTTTTATGAACAACACAACTTGGGGACAAACATATTCAAAATTCGTACAAATACGTTCAGGGGTTCCAGAGATATAGAAAAGTCTCTTTGGACTGTTTGCATGCCCAAAACAGTTGCACAGATTCAGGCTGTGCGGTCGGTCTATTTCTGCCTTGAAAAATAACAAAGTCCCATCCGAAGCCGGCGTTCGAATAGTTGAACGCACTTCGACTTCTGTCGAAGTAAAACAGGATTAAACTTCCTCGTTGGTCGTTAGGTGAGTGGCAGTCTATTTCACAGGAAAAAGATAACAAAGTCCCATCCGAAGGCGGCATTTGAATCGTCGAACGCACTTCGACTTCTGTCGAAGTAAAACGGGATTAAACTTCCTCGGTGGTCGTTAGGTGAGTGGTAGTCTATTTCACATGAAAAAGATGACAAAGTCCCATTCGAACGTGTGTTTGAATCTTCGAATGGGACTTAGTCTCCAGCCGCAGTGTCGAAGGGTAGGGGACGGTACAGGTCAGCGGTGTTCGTGCAAATGTGTGACCGATTTCCGTTCCAGAGATTTGATGGCACACACCGCTGACCGCATTCAGCTGTATTAAAATGGCCGCCGCCACTGTCTAATGGCGGCCACTTCGACTACTTCGGCACTTCGGCTGTATCCGAAGTGCCATATCAAATGTACCCATTCTTTGCACAGCACAATTAAAGGGCCAGAAACAGTTTTTGTCCTTAGGTGCAGGGCAATGTGGATGATGGCAGGAAGTTAAAAGGTAGAGGTTCCCAGGCAACAGGGTAGGACGCTGGTACAACATATATTATAGATCCAACGCAAAACAGGGGGATCTGTTACAGTTGCGTCAGTTCAGTTTATTTGAAGCCATGTGATGCGACCATGACCTAGTAATCATAACACTGTGCTCAAATGACGCTGTTATTTTATATAAGGAGACTAGGCCACTTTGGACTGAGGACTAAGTAGAATCGATTAAATTTGTCAAGTGTCAACTGTAGAGCGAGGTTAACCGGAAGTCAAGGTGATATTGATGAGGTAGAGTCAAATCTGGAATGAAGACCCTTAACTGACTTGGAGGTGTCAATACTGTTGCCAGGACCCCAGGGTGGTAGTGATACTAATGCAGTGACTTTACTGTGAGTACTCTTTCTAACAACCAGACAACAAAATGACTGTTTTATACAAGGTTTGTGCAGTGTGTCAGTGTGTTTTTTCTTTATAAAAAATACCTCCAAGGTTAAAACTCTATGCTAATTTAATTTTTTAACCTTCTAACGTGCTCCACTCAGAGCGGTCATTATTACCCAATTATAATGATGCTTTGAATCACGTGATTTTGCTGTTTTTAGTTTCTCAAGGGCTGTTGACATATGGATTGTGAGCACACAGGCTATTTCACTGAACCACTTTGTCTAAAAGAGCTTCAATGACTAGATCTTAGCTCACAGACAAGCACTTCTTTAACTTTTTGGTCTGTGTATATTGTTCTACCCCGCAACCCCCAATTGTACACCGCTGCAGATTATGTTGACACTATTTATACGCTAGTAATAATAAAAATAATATGGCTAAATGTATATATTAAAATTAACATTATTGATACATTTGATACAATATTTTTAAACCCCTTTGTTTATATATTTATACAAAAACTCATTCATAGCTTCAGTCCCTAGAAAGTCACATAAATAAGCAAAAAAAATAGCATTTTTGCTATTTGTGATTTTTATTTACCATTTAAAATATACACTTAACAGACAGTGTATTTGGTATATCTGCTTCCTAATTCAAATAGACTGCTGGGGCAGGGAAAAAGTAAAGTCAAGATGCTTAGTTGTCTGTTTATCAAATATTGAAGTCAAGTAGGGGTCTTAAAGTCCATTTACATGGCGGTCAGTGGCAATTTACCTTGAATAGAGAATTGATTGATCTAAGTGTCTCTGGCCAAGGTTACGACAGATATGTTTTATCTTGCCATCCTAATCCTGCTTCCATCTTTAATTGGTATTCTAATTGCTGTTTGAATTCTGAATTACTTGGTGTTTTTGATTGTTCCCAATATCAGGCGATTAGAATTTTTGAAACATTTAGAGCGTGAATAATAAGTAGTGTTTCTCTCTCCCGACGTTTTTCTTCCAGTAGATGTAATATAGCATTCTGTTGGGTTTTTTAAGTAGAGTTATTCCTTGGTCTCTTAAAAATACAAAAATCCTGTTACAAAATGTCTTTATCAAACTGCATACATACATCTGAAATTGATGGATATACACATTTTAGTTTTGTAGGAACCCAGTACCACCTATTCATAAATTTGTACTGGTTTTCTTGGAGGTTAATACAGTGTATATATTTGTTAGTTTTGGCAATTGCTTGTTGCCAATTCTCAATCGAAATATTCAAGTTTAGTTCTTTAAAATATATCTGTATATATATATTGGTAGTTAATGAAGACCAGGAAAAGGCAGAAATGTTAAATAACTATTTTTTCTTCAGTATATATTAATGAGGATCCTGTGGCAAGAGATATGCAAATGTTTGCTGCAAAAAACTTGCAGATAACTTGTGATTGGATAACTTGAGACAAGGTGCTACAGCTATTAGAGAAAATGAATGTCAATAAAGCTCCGGGGCCTGACGGTATTCACTCACGAGTACTTAAGGAGCTAAGTAGGGAAATAATTGAACCTCTGTATTTAATTTTTCAAGATTCTTTTGTTTCAGGTATTGTACCGGAGGATTGGAGGAAGGAAGATGTTGTTCCTATATTTAAAAAGGGTTCAAAATCCTTGCCTGGAAATTATAGACCTGTGAGCTTAACTTCTGTGACTGTGAAAATATTTAAAGGGCTATTAAGGGATAATATTCAGGAATTCATTGGGAAGAACTTTGTTATTAGCAGTAATCAGCATGGTTTTAGGAAACATAGGTCATGTCAAACTAACCTATTGTGTTCTACGAAGAAGTAAGTAGAAGTATTGATCAGGATTTTGCACTTGATGTGATCTACTTGGATTTTGCCAAGGCATTTGATACGGTTCCTCACAAAAGGTTAGTCATCAAACTAAAGGAAATTGGTCTTGATGATTATTATTCTTGTTCTTGGGTAGAACATTGGCTTAAGGATAGAGTACAACAGCTTGTCATTAATGGTAAATTTAGACTGGACAAAAGTGGTAAGTGGTGTCCCTCAGGGTTCTGTTTTGGGACAGCTTCTTTTTAACATATTTTAAGTGATCTTGAAATGGGCATTGAAAGCCATGTTTCAGTGTTTGCAGATGACACAAACCTTTGTAAAGTAATCAAATGTGAGCAGGATATTGCTTTGCTGTAGAGGGATTTGGATAGGTTGGGGGATTGGGCACTAAAATGGCAGAAGAAATTTAACGTAGAGAAATGCAAAGTTATGGACTTCGGGGTCAAGAATGCACAAGCAAATTACACCCTTAATGGTAGTGAATTAGGGATAACCACACATGAGAAGGATTTGGGAACTGCTATAGTCAACAAATTAGGCAGCAATATGCAAAGTCAATCTGCAGTTGCTAAGGCTAAAGTTTTGTCATGTATAACTAGGGGCATAAATTCTCGAGATGAAAATATAATTTTGCCTCTTTATAAATTGCTGGTAAGACCACACCTTGAATATGCTGTGCAATTTTGGGCACCTGTTCTAAAGAAGGATAGCATGGCATTAGAAAAAGTGCAGAGACGAGCTACAAAATTGATAAAAGGAATGGAGCATTTTAGTTATAAAGATTAAAAAATTAAAATCTCGTTAGTTTGGAAAAACGGCACCTCAGAGGGGATATGATAACATTATTCAAATATATTCGGGCCAGTACAAATCATTATCTGGAAATCTGTTCATAAACAGGGCTATACATAGGACACGTGGTCACATACTTAGGCTGGAAGAAAGGAGATTTAATCTAAGGCATATGGAATTCTCTGCCTGAAGAGGTGGTTTTATCAGAGTCCATACAGATGTTTAAACTGAAATTGGATAAATACTTGCAAATACATAACATACAGGGATATCATTTTTAATTAGTGGGGTAATAGCTGCTTGATCCAAGGAGACATCTGAATGCTATTTTGGGGTCAAGAATGAATTTTTTCCTAGTTTGTTGCAAAATTGGAAGTGCTACATACTTTGTTTTTTTGCCTTCTTTTGGATCAACAGCAAAAACATATGTGAGGAAGGCTGAACTTGATGGACGCAAGTCTCTTTTCAGCTATGTAACTATGTAGACCATTTTTTTATTGCAGGTATATTAGTTTTATTCTCTGATTAGTAAGAAGTTTATTGACTTATTGTCTATTTAAAAGTAATTATATTGAAGTCAAGTTTCTTAGGTGGTTTACTAATAAAGATGTTTTAATAAAAACCTTTATACGAAGATAAGTAAAGATTTCTTTATCATTTAAGAGAAATTCCTGCTTTAAATTTTGGAAGGATTTAATTGTGTTTTCTACTAATAAATTTTCTCTCCATCTAATCAACTGAATATCTACCACATTCTCTGTTTTAATCTCTACATCTAATGATCTTATAATTAAATTTTTTAATCCGAGCTTGGATTTTAGAGTAATTTTGGATTTTTAACCAAATTTTGATTACATTTTCTAGAACAATATTTGAAGATATCTTCCCTATCACAGGTAGACGAAATCCACAGTACCAGAGTGTACCAATTAAAAAAACACTTGGAGTAAAATTACACAAACACATATATAGACATAGCAGAAATGACCACACTCCAAGGACTTTGTAGAGATTTTCAAATAAAATTTAACTTTTATTCAATCAATTTAAAAAGTCAATGTTTCAGCTCCCACATGGAGCTTTCATCAGGACAAAACACGCAGTAATTTCTGCTATGTCTACATGATCCTTGCCAGACCAGCACCGGGCACCACAGGATTACACCAGGAGTGCAAGCCCTCGCTATATATATATATATATATAGATATGTTATAAAACATAAATAATAATTAAAAAATGTAAATATAATTTTACAAAAATTATATATATATATATATATATGTAATTTTATTGTATTTTGATATTAATATTTATATATTCATAACAAAATACTTAAAATGAAATTATATATATCTATGTATATAACAATAATACGAAATATACATGTCCATATACATTATTACATAAATAATCTCAAATATACTTGTAGACTTCAAATATATAAATATGTATATATATTTCAATTCTACGTGCATATTTATGTAATATTTTTACATAATTATGTAATTTTATTGATTGCAATTTGTGGGACCTGCCTGACAACTCAGGACGAAAGTCCAGAGAATTTAATTTGCTAGCACTATATTTAACCCTGTAACTTTCCAAGACACTCTAAAACCTGTACATGGGAGGTGGGGGGTTGGCACTGTTTTACTCGGTATTCTTTGCCGAACACAAATGTTAGTGTTTCAAAACAGTAAAATATCACAGCAATGATATTGTCAGTGAAAATTAAGTTTTTTTGCATTTTTCACCCAAAAACAACACTTTAACCGATGATATTGTTGTGATACATTTTACTGTTTTGAAACACTAATATTTGTGTTCAGTGAAGTTTCTGAGTATAACAGTACCCCCTATGTACAGGTTTTGTTGTGTTTTTGAAAATGACAGGGTTAAATCGGTGGGTACAGTAGATGAGTAAGAGAAAAATTACAGCTAAACACAAACACAGCAGAAATGTAAAAACAGCCCTGGTCCTTAACGGTAAGAAAATTGAAAAATGGTCCGGTCACTAAAAAATCATTCTTCAATATTGTAGTAGATAAAAATGAGAGTTCAATGTTCATATTACATTTTTAAATATAACTTTGTAATTTCACAAAAAACAAAACAAAACACTGCTGATTAAAAGGGGGTTGGGACAACCCTAAATTATTATAACCTTAAACACAAAAGGGCAGTTAAAATACTAACTTTCATTAAATAATGAACAAGAAGTGGTGGGTGTTACTCTATGGCTAATCTTGCCATGTGCAAAGCAGATCAAAGTTCTCTTTACGCTCTGCGAATATCCCAGTAAAAATATAATTATTACATCATTGTGTATTGGGTCCCAGGGTTCCGTACATTTTTCCTAAATTCGTACATTGAATCATGCTGTTAGTGGTGTAAGTTTACCAAGTAATATAATTATCAGAAAGAGGGACATCTAAGAGTTCTGTAAGTCCTCCTTAATGCTTGACATGACTTGAGTATCTCCATCTGTAATTTGTAATAACCCTTTAAAGAGTTATGCAGAACCCTTCTGTGTACATAGTTGCTTGTGAACCATTACATAATAAGTCTCGAATGGTCTACAGATGGCTTGGCTACAAGGAATACATTCTGTCCAAACATCGAGCCCTGAGGGATTCTTCCAAAAAAGAACCTTCTGTCACCACGACACTGACCCAATTTCAAAATATTTTTACTTTTCAATCAAAACCTCAACAATAACCATGTTCTACTACAATAGATTCTTTAAATAAAAGAAATGTTTAGTTTCTATTAACCATACATTTTTGTTTTATTTATAGTTCGTACCAAACTACAACAATAGTACTCGAAAAATACTCGAAAATATATAATGTTTTATTAACTTAAATAAATGTTGTTATCATGCAAACAGACAATACGACAAAAAAAAAGCACAAAAATCATTTTAAGTTGACCTATTTTTAAAATAAATATGCAACATGGAAGTCCATGTTTTAGAAATACAAGGAAGAATTCAATATAAATTAAAGCATTTACCAGGGGTGTTGAACCAAGGTTATTCAGCAGTTTAACTAGAAAGTGAACCATTGCCTGACAGTAACGAGAGCTGAATAGAAATATTTTAGGGCAAATAGCTTATAGTTCAACAGCCCTGGCCAAGACTTAACTTAGTTGTTCCCCAAAAATATTCAATATCCACGGTGCATAGAATCGATAGATTACCATAATCACTTACCCAGATGTAGAAATTTGGGATGAATGATATGCTGAGGCGAGGATGCTTGTGCTAGTGACAGCACAACAAGCAGGATAAGGAGATCTTTTAAAATCATTTCCAGGAGTCTGAACCAATGTAACGAGGTCAGTGTTGTATTTATATGGCAGAGTCACTGTCGCTATGAGCATTACACAGGGTACAGAACACCAACTTTTGTTTTTACCAGTGTCCTGATAAATGCTTAAAACAATACAGTCTCATCAAAACACACTAGCCTGGATGGTTCTGTGTGCGCCTAGCATTCTAGCTGCAAACTGACTATTGGGGCCAATATCAGCACTTTTATATTGCGGGGCAAAAAGCAACCTCAGCTGGCATCCTTTGAGCAAGGTATCAGTTATATTAGGGAAACACAGACTCCAACTACCAGGGTGCTAGGAAAGTCCCCGCGATTCCCACTTATGAGTAAATGCACAATTCCGATCCAATATTTACTAATCTAACATGCTTTAAATACTAGATATGAATATGTGTTTGCATTGATATGGAAGAGTTACTGAAGGTGTCAGTGTTACAGTGTCACAGCTGTGTTTTTTTATGTTTTATGATATTTTAATCCTATTAACACTACAGGCTGGATTTTATTAGCAGAATTTGGTTTTACTTTGCTTTCCGCATAGAAATGGTCTCATACAGGGTCATTCAGTAAAGTGAGAATTTAAAGCGAATTCAAGGAGATTTCAAATGTAAGGCCAAAGTAGCCAAACTGGAAGCATAGCTGACTTTGATCATTTTTCCAGCTGAGCTATTTTGCTCTTAAAGTGGCACTCCAAGCACCAAAACAATTTTATCTAAATGAAGTTGTTATGGTGTCAAGAGGCCTCTGTGATCACACTTACGTCAAGGGATTAAACTGTTCTTGAATGTCCGCTACAGCCATGATGTCCACTCCTCCCAGGCGACATTCGGCTTCTGAAATTTCGCTTGTGCAGTTGCTGCTTGCCTGAGAGTGGTCAGCTGATACTCTCAGCCAATCTGTGACTCCCATTTGAGAACGGTTTAACCACTTGCCGTAAAAGTCCCCCGAGACCTCCTGACACCATAACAACTTTATTTAGATAAAGTTGCTTTAGTTGCCTGGGAGTGTTCCTTTAAATTTGTGATTCTATCTATCTATCTATCTATCTTAAATTAATTTAAATATAAATCCCATATTACTAGAGACTGGGAAGCACAGATAAGCACTGCGACCAGGTTAGCTAGCCAAGCTACTTCATGGAGTGGACACAGTTCAAGGCTAATGATATAGTGTGCTTTGCAATAGTATTCTTATGTTTAATGTTTTGGATTTTTTAAAATATGTTAATGCTTTATCTATTCATGTTATTTTAAGTTTATATGCCAAGAGTGTCAAGGGGAAACGGAGGAAGATTTGCTTATGCCAACTATAATACAAGTCAAGAGTTAGAACTCAAGAAAATCCCAAAGATCAAGGTGTTTGGAGAGGAGAGCAAAGGTCCATCTACCACAACACACTCGACTGAGGGTGTGCCCACATGGGGGGTATTGAATCCCCTGGTGTACAAAATAGGAAAAATAAAATAAAATGAAAAATAAATATTATGATAAATTCCTCAGGCAAAGGGAATGTTTCTGGATCTACCGACTGAAGACCCTGAGTCCTAAGGGTCTAAATGAGGGGTTTTCTTTTTCTCCCTTTCTATAATCTCCACATCTATTATGTGTAATCCTGTCTGTCATAATGTGTGTTTTTCTCAACCTTCAAACCACATTAATATTTGGTACAGTCTTTATATAGTATTTAACTCCTTTTGGTTTAATCTATACTCTAGAAACATTTTTTCTGTATGTACATATATACCTCTTATTACTTCAACCATGATAGGTATTTTTGCCTTTCTGTAATAAGAACGACATTAAGAGAGTAGATTCTGCTCTCTAATTATTCATTATACTTTACATTTGAGACGTTATTCTACAAGGATTTGCTCCCCTAGAATAACTTACTATTTGGACACACATACTCTAACTGAGGTACTAATCCCCCACACTGACGGAATTCACATGTGTCCCCCAACCGACATAATTGCCGGTCCGAGCACTCCTTGACTCCTCCCCCTCCCGTGACACGGCTTCATGCAATTGGCCATGATGTCACGGGAGGGGCGGGCACTAGTCCCTTTATAACTCCGGCGGCGACGGGACCTCCTCACCGCTCTTGAAAAAGGCGCCACATAGCGCCGAAACGCGCGTCGAGCAAGAAGCTTAGCCTAGCTGGATACTTTAACTCTGAATTTATACGCTAGATTTAGGCTTAGGCGGATTTTTATTTTAAACCTATACTGCATGGGGTTGGGAATCTGTGGGTGTTTCGTCTGGCTGGTTGGGAGACGTCCTTTCTACTTAGGAGGCAGGGGTAGCTCTTTTTCCCTGGATTTATTTACTGGGGAACCTTATGCTCTACTCATAGTAGCTCAATATTAATGTAACTTTGTATCCCTTTCTGAATCAACAATTTCAGGATAATAGCACTTTGCTAAGAACTAGCAATATACTTTTACTACTGCTACTTTGTCTGCATTTATCTCTTTGCGAGCATTCTATTTTGGGGCTGACTACTATCTAGATGGATTGAGTTATCTGGGTATCTTTATACAAGGGGGTATTTTCTTCATTTTCATTATGATTCTACTTTCCTTCACCCGTGTATTATACTTTTGATCCCATTTTATCTCACTAGTGTAGTCAGCACTTTCTGCCTGATTTAACTACTATCTATTTAACAGGCTTACGGCTTGCCATATACTCCAGGGAACGACACCTTGTTTATTGGGTGTCATTTCCAGAATAGCAGTTTGACCATATTTTATGCAGACATCCTGGCTCTATAGGGTTTTCCTGTAGTAAGTTACATTATCAACGCAGACATCCTATTACTATATGCTAGCTTGAGTAAATAGCTTTTAGGTATTTATGGGTTTACAGTACTGTCATACAGAGTTTATTTACTGTATCTACCCTGTTGCCTCCCATCTTGTTAGTACAGCCTCATGGGCCAATCCCCAATCCTGGACCCCGTGTATTTTACATAGTCTCTGTACGTTTTCCAATAAAGAATTATTTATTTATTTATTTATTTTTTAAATTTATTTTTCATTTTATTTTATTTTTCCTATTTTGTACACCAGGGGATTCAATACCCCCCCATGTGGGCACACCCTCAGTCGAGTGTGTTGTGGTAGATGGACCTTTGCTCTCCTCTCCAAACACCTTGATCTTTGGGATTTTCTTTACTACTTATTGCGCTGGGTTAGGCCCTTTATGTGTTGCCCACTTAGTCCTTTCTCTGGCTCCAGGACTGGATTCTTTCTAGTTCTGTAGTCACCCTTTTCTCAAGAGTTAGAACTCACCATTTCATTAAAAAAGCCCAAATATAGTTTTATATAAATTATAAGTGAAATAAGAATTTCATATTTAATTTTAACCCCTTAATAGAAACATAGAAACATAGAAACATAGAATGTGACGGCAGATAAGAACCATTCGGCCCATCTAGTCTTCCCAATTTTCTAAATACTTTCATTAGTCCCTAGTCTTATCTTATAGTTAGGATAGCCTTATGCCTATCCCACGCATGCTTAAACTCCTTTACTGTGTTAACCTCTACCACTTCAGCTGGAAGGCTATTCCATGCATCCACTACCCTCTCAGTAAAGTAATACTTCCTGATATTATTTTTAAACCTTTGTCCCTCTAATTTAAGACTATGTCCTCTTGTTGTGGTAGTTTTTCTTCTTTTAAATATAGTCTCCTCCTTTACTGTGTTGATTCCCTTTATATATTTAAATGTTTCTATCATATCCCCCCTGTCTCGTCTTTCCTCCAAGCTATACATGTTAAGATCCATTAACCTTATAGAAACATAATGACCAAACTTCTGGAATAAAAGGGAATCATGACATGTTACACATGTCATGTGTCCTTAAGGGGTTAAAGCTATTTCCCATGTATAGTTACAGCAGCCTAAATATCCTTTGGAGGTCATAATAATCTTATGTAACTAAATAGGTAAAGACGACTTTCCCCCCAAACCCAGAGTAGAAATGAGTGTTACTCCCCCTTTTCCATCTATGAGCAGGTAATAGTAGCACACAACCACCCTATACACTCCTGAAATGACATCACCCTGAATATCTATAACTATCTTGCCAGTTATTTATTTTATCAGTAGCATGGCCTTTCAACATTTACTGTCCTATTTTTAAGTCTTTTCTTTAAAACATTTAGTGTCCTGTCAGTAAGATGCGTTCCCTTTTTGATGATCATGGTGGTTATGTGCTGACCAGAAAGAAATAGAAAGAAATGGGATCGGTGTGAAAATGGGTGTAAAAGGGAATAAACGCCACCTCCACGCTGATCCCATGCACCAGGAGGGCACCCCAGCAATGCCCAAGGACTTAACCCTAGATACTAGCAACAGAAACAAAGAAGCAAAAATTCACAAACTGAATATAATGCTAAATGGAGCTAAAGACGTAGGCACCGAAGCATCCAGTGGTATGGAACAATGGAACCAGAGGGAGACCACGAAATATCTGAAGTAACAGAAAGTATCAACACAGAAATAAACTGTGACTCCAAATAGTAATAAATACCGAACTACTGAACTCCCAGGCCTAAGTAAGTGAGGAGATAAAGTTACTTAACACCTAAGTCTGCAATATACAAATAGGCTTAATTAGTCCTGGCCCTTTATTGCATAGGGTGTTAGTAAATCTCCACTTAGTACCTAAACACCAGAAAAAGTGCTAAAGGGAGAAAGGACACTGTCTAAAAGACTGGCAGCCCTAATAATCAAACATAGACAGACGGATAAAATAAAAAAAATAAAGAAAGCCTCTCTCCTTGTGAAAGAATAATGTTTACAAACTCCCATGACTCAGTAAGTGATGAGATGAAGTGCTAAACACCTAAATCTGCAATATACATATAGGCCTAATTAGTCCTGGCCTTTTAATGCATAGGATGTTAGTAGATCTCCCCCTTAATTTTATAACATGACAGGAGGCTTCATATTTGCTTAAGTCTCTCTTTACTAGAACTCCACAGCAGCACAGAAAAACAACCAATCAGAAAAAAGTTAGGTACTATAAAACTCCCCTCCCCCATGCATCATTTCCTCTTTCTTTGCTGCTCCGCAGTCAGTACAGGTCAGAGTACCACTGCCTCCTGCTTCTAGTGGGTGGCTTTGGGATTAATTATGATTTAT